TAATCAATCGACGTAACTTTGCCACGATCTAGAGATCAGCATAAAGCGAACCTCACGGAAGACAAGTATCAGCCACCTCACGGACGTACCCTCGGTTCCGCTTGGCTGATTTCCGTGTGAGTCGAGCTGGAACTTTCACACATGTGTCAAACGGTTCTCTTCAATGGAGTGGAAGATATTTGATTCAGATCGCTCGTGGGGACGTCGTCTGCTTCCCCAGACTAAGCCAGGCCGTCAACCCAAGCGTGACCGTATCCCCCCCCCCCCTCACCTGACTTCCGTCAACCTGGAATGCCAGTCTGTACCGCTTAGATCTAGGACATGTTAGGGATTGGGAAAAATATTTTTTTGTGTCGTATTTTAGTGAGTCACATATAAGCTAAAGGTAAAATAGTCTTAGAGTTTATGTATTAAAACTGTAATTGCAAGAGTTAATTGATCGAAACAATGATTGCGAGATTTCATTGATTAAAACCGTGGTTGGCATACTTTATGTGTAAAACAAACAGCATGTAAAACATAGTTACCGATGAACACTTAGGTATCGTCAAATTTCCCCGTTCGTGCCCAAGACAGGTAGGGCAGATGAAGTAGAGTTCATCTGTTTTCATTGACTTCAGCATACTGTGGTCAGGACTATGAACTGCAGCCTTTAGAGCTGGGTGAACTCAGGGACGGCTGATAGACTCAAGCACGGGATCCGAACTTGAGACTTTTGGGTTAGCATTTGTAAGCTTTTCCATCCGACCATGTTTCCAGAGAAAAGAATTATACCGATGTGGCCTGATTTCCTCACCCCACCCCCCGCTATACCGATCTGTGTATATTTCGGCTTAACTCCACCCCCACCCCACCAGATACAACTATACAGATCTGGGTTGATTTTGTCTTTACCCAACCCCCCGCCCCATACACATACCTGCCCCCCCGCCCCCCGCCCCCTACCACCAGATATAACTATACCGATCTAGACTGATTGCCTCTGCGCCCCAACTCGACGGTAGTGATTATAAAACGAATGCTAACTTTAATCAACAGCTAATGAAAGCTCTTCTGATTGGCTACTTAATACGCCCACTTACTTAATTACAAATCTCAATTTTTATTTTTAAATTTAAAAAAATTCAAATTTGCCAAGTACTACACGTGTAGACAGACAAATTACATCCTCACTTATTCGAACCAGTTTTTTTATTATTATTGCCAGGATACATCGCAATTTGGCTTGACATTTGTTCTAAAGCTGGCCACTGGGTTTCCTTTGATTATTCTACATCTCTTGACGTCATAGCGTGATCTGTCATATCTAAGAATAAAATGAGATAGCTCTTCCGTTCCATACGGATTTGATCCCTCATATTTTTTTGGTCATTATAATCTCGCAACTAACAGCCTTATTCATCTCTAGATTTTTCAAAGCGAAAAAATGACAGTGCCGACTTAGCATGGCTAACCCCGATGAATATTTTCTGTTTTTCAAACAAGACATTTTTTTTTACCCCACCTTAATTTTGGCTTTCAAATTTTTATTTTCGGATTTCTAAACTTAAAGCAACAAACTTTGGAGCACACCCTTAAAAAAAAAAAAATTCCTTCTTTTAAAAAAAAAATCAACCATGAATTCGATACTTTGTCACTTCGTTAAAACTCTATTTTTTCCCCCCAGACTTTCCTCTAGTTTTACATTAAACTTGTTGATAAAAAAACACCTCAACATTTTTTTTTCTTTTAAATCGCGATAATTGTTTAAAACGTTTTTTAAAGTCATTACATAAAGTGACATGTGGAGGTACATGCTCCTATCGCCTAGTTATCGCTGTAGTAGGTTGAAGTATTCCTTAGAAGAAAAAAAAATCTATTAAAAGAAACACCGAATATTCTCTAACCCAAAAGGCTAGCTGGCCCAGCCTAGCGTAGCGTTTTTTTAAATGTCAGAAATGTTTTTTTTTTTTTTTTTTAAAGAGCGAAGTGGAAATGTAACGGATTTTTTTTATTAGATGCCAAGAGTTGATCAAATGTAAAGAAATGGCGATGCAGCTGTCAAGAAAATAAAATACCTCGCGAATTCTAATTGAGGCTCCAGACACCTAGGCAACAAATACTGAAACATCTCCAGACACCGTAACAACGTTAAAACACCCCCAAACACCAAGGCAACAAATACTGAAACACCCCTCCCCCTCCCCGACACCGGAACAACACTGAAACACTCCCAGACATCAGGCCAACATTAAAACACCTCCCAACACCAGAACAACACTGAAACACCTCCAGACATCAAGCGAACATTGAAACACCTCCAGACATCAAGCCAACATTGAAACACCTCCAGACATCAAGCCAACATTGAAACACCTCAAGACATCAAGCCAACGTTGAAACACCTCCAGACATCAGAACAACACTGAAACTTCTCCAGACATCAGAACAACAATGAAACACCCCAGACACCAAGCCAACAAACACTGAAACACCTCCAGACATCAAGCCAACATTGAAACACCTCCAGACATTGAGCCAACATTGAAACACCTCCAGACATCAAGCCAACATTGAAACACCTCAAGACATCAAGCCAACATTGAAACACCTCAAGACATTAAGCCAACATTGAAACACCTCCAGACATCAGAACAACACTGAAACTTCTCCAGACATCGAAACACCATTGAAACACCCCAGACACCAAGCCAACAAACACTGAAACACCTCCAGACATCAAGCCAACATTGAAACACCTCCAGACATTACACCAACATTGAAACACCTCCAGACATCAAGCCAACATTGAAACACCTCCAGACATCGGAACAACATTGAAACACCCCAGACACCAAGCCAACAAACACTGAAACACCTTCAGACACCAAGCCAACAAACACTGAAACACCTCCAGACATCAAGCCAACATTGAAACACCTCCAGACATCAAGCCAACATTGAAACACCTTCAGACATCAAGCCAACATTGAAACACCTCCAGACATCAAGCCAACATTAAAACACCTCCAGACATCAAGCCAACATTGAAACACCTCCAGACATCAAGCCAACATTGAAACACCTTCAGACATCAAGCCAACATTGAAACACCTTCAGACATCAAGCCAACATTGAAACACCTCCAGACATCAAGCCAACATTGAAACACCTTCAGACATCAAGCCAACATTGAAACACCTTCAGACATCAAGCAAACATTGAAACACCTCCAGACATCAACCCAACATTGAAACACCTCCAGACATCAAGCCAACATTGAAACACCCCAGACATCAAGCCAACAAACACTGAAACACCACCAGATACTAAGCGAAAGTTGAAATACCTCCATACATCAGGAAATCAAACACTGAAACATCCCTAGATACCACACCAACACTGAAACACCTCCCAACACCACAATTTATCAGACCAACACCTGCTAACCGAACGTTTGAAATAAAATGGACTCCCAATGAGATAGAAACTTGTTACGAACTTTTACTTCACGTTCCCTTTAGTCAAGAACCTAACATATATTGTGCATGTTTTTATTGTATGGTTTCCTTAAATTTCGGTTGTCGTTCATAATTGATAAATCAAGTAATACACGCGCATATATATATATATATATATATATATATATATATATATATATATATATATATATATATATATATATATATGTATATATATATATATATATATATATATATATATATGTATATATATGGTGGAAGTTTGCCACCTTGACCACATACGTGATTGTACTATAATGTTCTTGAAAACACGAGAACTAATATTGTGTCTGCTCCACCATATATACGATACTTTATCTACTCCACCATATATTCTAATACTTTATTACTCCACCATACATTCTTATATCTTGGTTCTCTATTCCACCATATATTCCAATACTTTATCTATTCCACCATGTATTCTAATACTTTGATTCTCTACTCCGCCATATTCCAATATTTTATCTATTCCACCATATATTCGACTACTTTATCTACTCCACCATATGTTGTAATAATTTATATATTCCACCATATATTCTAGCACTTGATTCTCTACTCCACATGTTCTAACACTTTGCTTCTCTACTCCACTAGGCTGTGTACAACTACGCTAAAGTCGAGTGCAAATGTCATATATACGATACTTTATCTACTCCACCATATATTCTAATACTTTATTACTCCACCATACATTCTCATATCTTGGTTCTCTATTCCACCATATATTCCAATACTTTATCTATTCCACCATGTATTCTAATACTTTGATTCTATACTCCACCATATTCCAATATTTTATCTATTCCACCATATATTCGACTACTTTATCTACTCCACCATATGTTGTACTAATTTATATATTCCACCATATATTCTCACTTTGATTCTCTACTCCACCATATGTTCTAATACCTTGATTCTCTACTCCACCTTATGTTCTAACACTTTGATTCTCTACTCCACCATATGTTCTAACACTTTGATTCTCTACTCCACCATATGTTCTAATACCTTGATTCTCTACTCCACCATATGTTCTAACACTTTGATTCTCTACTCCACCATATGTTCTAACACTTTGATTCTCTACTCCACCATATGTTCTAATACCTTGATTCTCTACTCCACCTTATGTTCTAACACTTTGATTCTCTACTCCACCATATGTTCTAACACTTTGATTCTCTACTCCACCATATGTTCTAATACCTTGATTCTCTACTCCACCATATGTTCTAACACTTTGATTCTCTACTCCACCCTATGTTCTAACACTTTGATTCTCTACTCCACCATATGTTCTAACACTTTGATTCTCTACTCCACCATATGTTCTAACACTTTGATTCTCTACTCCACCATATGTTCTAATACCTTGATTCTCTACTCCACCATATGTTCTAACACTTTGATTCTCTACTCCACCCTATGTTCTAACACTTTGATTCTCTACTCCACCCTATGCTCTAACACTTTGATTCTCTACTCCACCAGGCTGTGTACAACTACGCTAAAGTCGAGTGCAAATGTCATGGCGTCTCCGGCTCCTGCGCCGTGAAGACCTGCTGGCAACAGCTGCCGTCCTTCCGGGAAGTCGGAGACCGGCTCCGGGAGAAATACGACGGCTCTACGGAGATTCGCTTCAACGTCCGAGGCACCAAACTCGTCCGCAAAAACAAACGCTTTAACAAACCAACAAAGGAGGACCTGATATACTTAGACGAGTCTCCGAACTACTGTGTCGCTAACAACGAGACGGGTTCCCTGGGGACTGTGGGGCGGGTGTGTAACAGACAATCTCAGGGCACCGACGGGTGTAACCTCATGTGCTGCGGGAGGGGTTACAACACGTTCAAGCAGAAGTTGACGGAGCGCTGCAACTGCAAGTTCCAGTACTGTTGTTACGTCAGGTGTAGAACGTGTGAGAGGATTATCGACATGAACACCTGTAAATAGGAGACACGCGGTGGCCTCTGTTTCCAGGGCCACTGTCTTCTGATGGTCGTACTACACGCTCGACCTGAGGCCAGTGCGGCCAACATTGGACACATTTGTACCAGACACAAGAGGACACAGTTGTGTCGTATTACAGAGGACACGGCTGTGTCATATTAAAGAGGACACAGTTATTATCAAACGTACACTTTCCTATAATAAACAAAACATGTTGTTCATAATACATAAGAGTTGTGATCGTGATATTTGTGATAAGACACAATGCTGCCGTGTGGGCGTTCTTCCTTTCGGACTTCCTTTCTGCTAGCGACGACTGTGTCGGACACACATCCTACCAGTAACGAATGTGTCAGACACACATTCTTCCAGTAACGAATGTGTCAGACACACATTCTTCCAGTAACGAATGTGTCAGACACACATTCTGACAGTAAAGAATATGTCTTACACACATTCTTTCAGATACGAATGTGTCCGACACATATTCAGCCAGTAACGAATGTGTCGGACACACTTTCTACCTGTAAGGATTCAGGAATGTGGTGCCATGTGTATATACCATCTGGAAGACAGCCATTTGTAGGAGCAGAATGACTAAGGGTGTGGGTATTCTTGTGGCTTCCCCTCACACATAGTCCACACATCGTTGTGTGTGATAATTTATACGTCGTTGTGAGTGATGATTCACACAATATTGTGAGTGATGATTCACACGTCGAGTCAACAATAACAGACGGATAGTACTTGGATCGAAATAACAATAGGTTTCAATCTCGGAATGTTACCCTTTCAAGGATATCTACATCATTTTTTTTCTAACCTATAGATTACCATCTTCAAGAAAACTAACCTTAAAAAAACCAGTACAAATTAGTGTTTCGTAAAGATCCAAAAACAAGGAATTCGTTGACAACAACATAAGGATACTAAAAGGAGTATGTATATGTTTTCTCGCGTGAGTCGAATCCACGTACCAAGACCGCACCAGCATCAACTGGAAGATGCTCTACGATTTTTGCCACTCGTACTTGTGTATTGTTCTATTCTTTACATACATACATATGTAGATTTCTGTGTGTTAAGGGAAACGTGTTAATTATTTATTCGTCATCATGAAACAAAACACAACTACTGAAGCACTGTACACAACTTTATTTATTCCTTCTTACACTCAATGAATGTATCGTTGTTTTAGACGGGTGTGCCACACACTCACCCCCAGATTTGTGTTGTGATATATTGTTACATATAAAGATGATCCTATACAGTGAGGGTCTAGTGTAGAGGTTTTTATAATAAAAATTTTAACAGCGCTAAAGCAATCAAAAATCTTGTCAGTTCAACACGTGATCTCAACATTATATTGTTTACACCACAAAAAGAATTCTGTTTACATAATCATTCTTGAGAACGATCAGTCGCCCTTTATATAAGAGACCGTTTTCAACACATCTGTTAAAATATTTATATTTCTAAAAAAAGGTAAACAAACCGCCAAATCAGAAGTGAATATCTTAAATAAATCCATTTTAATTTAGCTTGATTATTTTTTTTTAAACTTTAAATAAATTTCATAATCTAAAATTAACAAATGAAGGTATTTTTTTAAATATTCGAGTAGGTCTAAGACTCTATTTCTCTGAATCGTGAGTGAAGTTGAACGTACCCTCCAATAATATCCCTTGATGTTTAACTGCTGTAATTATACTCTATATCTGTTTTCCAAGTATTGTTTACGCATCAATATGCTCGCTACATGCGCGACAGAAGTTAGTTCCCAAATAAATTGGTCAAAAGTCGGAGTCATGTCATATTTATTACTGGGTGTTTCGCCATCCGTCGTGTAAATGTTGAAATGTAAATACTTCGAGTTGGTCTGTAATTAATACTCATCGCTTGCGTGGATTTAAACATTTGCAAATTTCGCAACAAAATAAGCACGCCCAATATAGCTAAGTTTAATATAATGGAAGGGGGGGGGGGGCAAAGTTTCTTCCAGGCATCCCCCCCCCCCGAACGAAATGAAATTTATATAATTTATATAGAAAATATATACTTTTAACAGTGTCCGCCCCCCCCCCCGAAGAAAGTTTACCGCCCCCCCCCCAACCCCCCGAAAATTTCAAGTGCCCCCCCCCCCCCCCCCTCCGGAGAAAAAAGTCTGGAAGAAACCCTGAGGGGGGTGTCGGGATTTATGATAACTACTATCTTGGGGGGGGGGGGGATACAATTTAATATTTCGTATCTCTTAAAAACAAAAACGATTACAGATAATTTAGTTTCGTTTTTTTACTGGGATTACTTTTATTTTATTTTCAAAATTGGTGAGGTCTTTTTGTTGTGACGATGTTTAACTCGATTGATCTATTCATAGTGGGTGGTAAAAACATTATGATGTAACAAACAGGCCTATTTCATATTTCAGAAGAACAAAAAAACGATCACACACAATTTAGTTTTTGATAGACTGACTTGTATTTTAGTTTTATTTTCCAGCTGGTGAGGTCCCTCTGTTGTGACGATGTACAACTCTGTTTATGGTGGTTATTCATGTGCTAAAACTGAGTGACGTCATTTACGGACATCCGCTAAACTGGAAACGACTTTAATCATCTGTTGGATGTAATGATTGTGTCATTTCGCTTTTTTTTTTCATTCAATATTTATAATAAAGTTTCGGAGATAATGGCGGTATCAGCTCCAACTATCTTCTTATAAAATATTTCTGTCTCCTAGGAGCCATCGAACAATATCATTTTTTAATGCCTTTAGATGATTGAGCGATATTTTGATTCTATACAGCTCTGCGTACAGGGGTATTTGAAGTAAAGAAAAATAAAATATTCATCCCTTCAACTCATGGTTTTGTTCACGTGGTCATAGCTTGTTTATGTTGTCATGGTTACGACACGCTCTCGCTGAACCAACCAATCAGAACGGTTTTCAGCAACAATGTTGTTGATTTAAACATTGAATAGGTTCTATTATAAGCTTGTACGAAGTTGTATTTTTTTAATGATTAAACTATGAATGGGATGTTTAAGACAAGTCACTACACAAGCATTTATCACTTTATATTTATTATTAAAACTGGCTGTAGTACTGATAATTACCCTTATATATGAATACAAAGGCCGTTTCAGACATTACGTGGGCGTTTATCAATGACCAATAGCTTTGTGAGAGTAACGTGTGAGCCGCCATCTTGTTAGTGTCAGAAGCAGACATTGTTTGTTTAGTTCAGCTTTCTCTACGTGGAACCTTTTAAAGCAAAGATGTATTTACTTCTTCATTCATTGCTTTAGTCATATAAATTTTGAAAAAATCAATTCCTACTTTTCTAAACGCGTGGTTGCAAATCTGAGTTCATCGCGAAAAGTACAAGTGGTTTAAGCTAAAAAAAAAAGAACTTTTGAGACGATTTATGCACACAAGTAGAGACAGTTAGTATGACTCGTTTGATCACTTTGGATGTAGCGTTTGATTACATTCGCCAAATTTATTAACGCAAAGTAGATCTATAATAGATTGATGTTTATCAAGTTTATTGACACAAAGTATAAAGCAATGGTATTTTTTTAAAAATATATATATAACTACAGCAGGAAACAATAGAGACTAGTGTGCATTTATGTATTGCTGATTACCTAATCCAGTGGCGTAGGCAGGGGGGGTCATAACCCCCCCCCCATAGACCCCTCGGTATATATAAAAAGTATGAGGGGGGTGCAAATCGAAAGTTTGAGGGGGGGTGCAAATCGAAAGTTTGAGGGGGGGGGGTGCAAATCGAAAGTTTGAGGGGGGGTGCAAATCGAAAGTTTGAGGTGGGGGGGTGCAAATCGAAAGTTTGAGGGGGGGGGGGGGTGCAAATCGAAAGTTTGTCCCCAAGTAAAAATTGGAACCCCCCCCCCCCCCTTGAGACGATCCTGGCTACGTCACTGACCTAATCCAATCCTAATCCTGACCAAACCATAGTGGGTCATCCATTTATGACGTCCACACGCGGGGGGGGGGGGGGTGCGAAAAAACTGACTTTTGTGGACGTATATGGACTTTTATAAGGAAAAAAAGTGGATTTTAGTGGAGGGGGGGTCCAAAATTTTAAAAAATTGTGGACGTCATAAATGGATGACCCCTAGCTGAAGAAACGATGCCGACTACAGTTATGTGCGTGTAGGATATTTCAGCACCTGGTGTATGAACGCCACAACTATCAATAACAGCGAAACAGCCGCCACATTTGTTTTCAAAACTCACCCATATCAAGTCAAAAATGAGTATTTGCTTTCTATAAGTCTAGCCAGCTGAAGTGAATACGCATACGATTCTTACACGCAGTAAAGTGCTCCTCAGGAGTCAAGTATAGAAACTGCTATTGGGGCGCTCATTAGACGAAATACGAGTAATATGTAAATACTTTTTATGAGTAAACAATTTTTTAATGAAAACCGTTTTTTTTTTAAAATCACGAAGCTTGTTAAAACAGACGTTTTTCTGTGTCGACACCGTTTTTTCCTCTGCTTAGAAACCTACTTCCGGTTTGAAAAATATAATCTTTTGCATAATGAACTAAAAAAAAACATATTTTTCAAAGAAAGAAAATAGCTGGCTAGTTTCACAACTTCCGTTTCATGCATCTCAGTGGGCTGATAGCACAATGACAGGCATGGTGTAATTTGGTCTATGTTAACTGACAGGTTCAGTGTTATTTTCTCTCTGTGCGACTGACGGACGCGATAAGACTGCTCACGCTGATGACTTCACGCGCAACCAGTGGCGCGAGGTCTCAGTGGACGTGTGGGGGTTTGACCACGTACTGGCGGCAACTCGTTTCAAATCACACTTTAAGAAATGTGTAGGGCTTTGGCCGGGTTCCTTTCAGACATTTTCTTCTCTGGGTAGCAGATTTTAAATTTTCGAGGGGGAGGGGTATCAAGTTGGTATTGCAGTTGGTATCAATATGGACGGCAATATCGAGAAATATCAGGGCTCTCTAAACGTTCAGTCACGCCGAAAATTAAGGGTCATCCTTATATGACGTCACTCTTTTTTAAAATGATTTTTTACCCCCTCCCCCCTCCCCATCGTCAAAAAACGCCACCCCCACACCGTTTTTTAAAATAACCTCACACCTCATCCTACAATGCCCCAAAAATTGCATTTAATTAAAAAAAAAACATCGATTTCTTTAGTTTATTAATCCGTTTGTGGCAATTTACAAAAATACCTTTAAAAAGCGAAAAACATGGCTAAAATTCGGTTTGTAACACTCCTTTTTAAAATTAAAAAGTGTGTCGCCACACTCTATGAACCCCCCCCCCCCCCTCCTCGTTACATGTCTCGAAATTCCGACCCCCCCCCCCTCCCTTCTTGGAGTGTTAAATTATTTATGGACGAACCCTTAAGTCGATGTATGTATTGCATTTTCGTAACATAGGTACAGATTTTCTCAATGAAAACACGAAACAGTATGTAAAAAAAACATGTTTTAAAAAAAGCTCGCTAACTGGGTTGAATGAAACGGCCTTTGTATATGGGAATGGGATGGGGTTTGTTTGGATGATGTGATTTATTGATTGGGTCTCTTCTTAATTATCATTAAGCGGCAGGTGCGGTGACACAGTTTTGGGGATTCTGTTGGTGACTTGCTGTCTAAATCTTACCTAATCACGCCTGTTACGGGAGGATTAGCACCAACTTAAAGCCACCAACATCGTGATAGAGAAAAATAAAGGAGGGATTATATTTGAATATAGTTTCATGGTTAATAGTGATCCCATTATTGTATGAAAGATGTTGTCGGCTATATAAAACATGTTTTTTTATGTTACAATGTGGCTTTTTTTAAAACCCAAGTTTAACTTTAGGTTCTTGTTTATTAAGTAATAGAGTCATAGTTTTATTATTATGAATTATACAAAACAGATACGTTTTTTAAAAAGTTCGACCAAATCGGCATCCATATTTTTTTTTTTGCATCAGGTTAACATCATTGCTTTGTTCGTTTTATTTTTCCTTTGCAATTTTTTTAAAAATGTGAACAGTTACTGTGTTACAAAGTATTGTTCTAGTTCGGCTACTACCTCATTGGACACATGCATACATTGTTATTTCGTCATTTCTCGTCTTCAGCTAAAAGTTGTTTCTGCAAGATTTTTAAACATTGCTTTTTTATTTTATTTTATTACATGGGGTCGTGTTCATATTATGTAACGCAAAAGATGAAGGGTGATTTATCATTTGATTAAATTTTGTTACAGGGGATAGTTTGTGAAGAAGAGTAATGTTACAGAACACTGTCTTTAAATATTTTTTCTCCTATTTTTAACAAATGTCCTGCAGTTTTGAATTTTTGAATGAAGACGTTTTCACCACTAGATTACATTTTTTCTTATACAATACAAGGTTTCACTAACGTACGGCGTGGTCTAGCGGTAGAGAGACTACTAACCTGCTAGGCCGAAAGTATCGAGTAGAACGTCCCTGAGTCCACCCAGCTTTGATGGGTACCTAACACACGTTAGGGAAAGTAAAGGGCATAGTGCTGACCACACTATCCCTTCATGTGCCTAGGTCACAGAAACAGGTGAACTCTACTTCACTCGCCCCATTCACCGTCAATTGTGAAGATGAATTTTACTAACTAATGTATAAGGTTTCATTATTGTTTCAGTTTAAAATGTAGGCTAAAAACGATTTTCTCGAACCTGAACTAAAATTATTTTTACAATTTTATTTTATATTCCAACATTAATGTTGTACTACATGTTGTTTTATGGTGGTAGTGGAGGGTGGGGGGAAACTAGGGAAACATTATATGGGGTAGGGGAGAATATATATATATATATATATATATATATATATATATATATATATATATATATATATATATATATATATATATATATATAATTTTTGTATTATCTAATATGAGCACGATCTTCAACCAAGGGCATACATCGGCAAAAAATAAATTTCATCACTGACCTTCCCTAGGCTGAAAGATATAAAATCAATGTAACTTTCTTATCGTTCCGACTAGATACATTTTTTTTACAAACTTTTTTTTTATGAATAAAACTAATAAACCAAAAATAGATCGACCGCTTAAGCCCAGCCCCTGTACGTAAGATGAACATCAATCTACCTGGGGCTAGAGGCAGGCGGAGGGACGGTGGGGGATCTAGATTGACTGTGACACAAATCTTGTGGAAGAATTCATAACCAACCTTGCCGTTCATTTATGTACCAGTTTGGACATTAAAACGCTAATAATAAATTTGCCGCAAGCTATTGTAAATCTAGGACGCCATAGTTAATTTTTTAAAAAATAAAACAGGCATGTAGTGAAAATCCTTGTTTTAATCCTGGGAAATATTTTTCTACACAAAAGTGTTGTAAATAAATGTACACGACAGCCCACGTATATATATTTTTTGTCTCAGTGTTATTGGTACTTTTTATTTTTTGAAGTACTTGTTTATAACCCTACTATATAAATATACATATAATTATATATAACAATCTAGGTTGTACAAATAGGCGTTGAGGAACGCAAGTGTTTTCAGAACTGGTCAACTGTCATACACATTAATTTAATTTGGCTTTTTTTTTTTTAAACTTCTGTCAAGATAATTAATCTGTACATTTTGAACGGAAACAACAAAAAAATGTCAATAAAAATTGGATTAGATATATGATCGTGTTTTGTTTGTCTTCAGACGTGCCCGTTTGTTTTATATGACGTCTTGTGAAACGTGAACGTCAGAGGGAAGTTAGAAGGTCCTTTGATCTCTTCTGCTAGCGTCTGGTACAGTCTGTGTTGTTCGTGATACACGGAAGATTGCGTTCAGGAAATGTGTATGTAGGGAGGTGTGTGTCTAGTGTAGTAAGATGTGAATTATGTTTCATTCAGTGTGGTGTGCTTGGATCAGCGGCGTAGCCAGGATCGTCTTATTCGGGGGGGGGGGGGGGTTCCAAATTTTACCCGTGGACAAACATTTCGATTTGCACCCACCCCCCTCATACTTTATATATATATATATATATATATATATATATATATATACCGAGGGGTCTATGGGGGGGGGGTTATGACCCCCCCTAACCCCCCCCCCCCCTGCCTACGCCACTGGCTTGGATGTGTTGCGTTTGAAAGGTACTAGCAGTATACCCATGCTCCGCCACGGTGAATCTTTTTTAAATGTACTAACTTAAGAACAGAACAAGGTACATGAATGTTGTGTTATGTGGTATTTGACTATGTAACAATCTGTGTGTCGTATTATGTTATGTATGGGATTCACATAAACGTTTTATTCAGTGTGTTGTGCTTGAGTGTATTGCGTTTATACGGTACATGTATGTTGTGTTATGTGCTGTATGCGATTGGCCATGTGTCGTATGTTTTATGGGATTGAATGAAACGTTTTATTTGCAGTGTTTGACAGAGTATAGAAAAGATAACTGATATTGTGTTGTGTGATGTGTTGGTTCTGCAATTTGCCATAAAAAAAGTGTAGCCAATCTTCAGTGTGCTGTGCAAAGTAGGCGTATGCTGCTGTAGATGATGGTGTATGTGTATACCATGTTTAGTGTGTTGTCCTAGATTGACCGTGTCTATTGTTATGTGTAGAGTGCTGAATGCTGATGCTGAATGGTATGTTTGTATATACCATGTGCGCAGAGGCGTAGCGAGGGGAGGGGGCGGGGCGGACCGCTCCGGGTGACACCATTTAGGGGGGTGACACCAAGGCAAAAAATAGCAAAATATATAGAGAAAACTTTGAGGGGGGGGTGCAAATCGGAAGTGTGAGGGGGGGGGGTTACAAATCGAAAGTTTGAGGGGGGTGGAAATCGAAAATTTGTTCCCGGGAAGGGTCGCTGCGCCTCTGGGGGGGGGGGGTGACACCATTAAGTGCCGCACCGGGTGACACCCGACCTCGCTACGCCACTGCATGTGCGCATGATTATAAACGTAATAAACTCCTTGTGTTTAGTTGATCCATATTTCGTAGTGTATCTCGTAAAAAAGTGTTTAGTAGCATTCATCCCAAAACAATTATAATACAAGATGGGCCGCATGCTGCTAATATACCCAAGGCTTCAATTCAAACCTAACTACCCATGCTGTGTTAAAATCACAAGGAGGGGACAATATCATATTTAACAAACAAATTTCCTCGATCTCCTATTGTAGTTCCTCCCACACAAGCCGTACAAAAACAACAACAAACCCTGCACTATACATCCTACAGCATTGTTTTGTTTACTTCAAATACCGAACCCATCCGCGAAGCTCGGGGGTGAAACATTCGATGACGTGATGACACCTGATTGATGAGATGTAACGAATTAAATGAACCGGGCCTTCTTACCTCTGTATTACAGCTGAGAAAGAAAATAGTTCTTTTTTTTTTTTTTTTTTTTTTTTTTTTTTTTTTTTTTTTTTGTAAATGGCTGGAGGGCATGCATCGAAAGTGGGCCACTCGTATGAATGTTTGATAGGTTTTAGATAGCAGCGTCTATTGACAGAGAAAAATGTCGTTTTCGCGTCATTTGCTATGCAGCCAGGCAATCAGAAACTGAAAGAATGGGGGTCTTTCTTGTGATGCGATTTCCTTCTTCAATAATGTATACGGAATATTTTTTTTCATAACAGAGCTTTCGGAAAGACTCGGTCAAGCCTCTAGGTATCTGATGATGGTGTGTCAAGCGGTTGATTTAAAACAAAATGGGAATCGTAGTCACGTCTGCTTCTCGTTTCAACTGTCAAAACAAAAGTTGAATGACTGACTGACCCAGAAATGCGAGTGATTGAATATACGATTACTTCTGATGATGGCTAATCTCCTAGACATAGGATTATTCGTGCTAATCTAATCCATCTAAATAGAAGGAAACGTCGTATGATATTGCTAATCTAGGACGGTCGATGACAAATTTAAAATAACAGTGCATTGGTAATGATGCACCAGATCCACAATGCAATAAATCTAAAACTATTAAAACACAGTCTGTAAAAAGTTTGGCTAGGGGAGGTAATGCAGTGCTAGTTTACGGTTCAGTGGATTTTATTTAATAAACCAACTGGAGTAATGGAAAATATTGAAATTATCAAAATGAAATAATTGTTTATGTAGTGTTTTATCCCTGAGAAATTCAAGAAAAAGTCCTTAGTGATAGTATTATTTTTTTTATTTATTGTGTTAAACAAAAAGCTTTTTTTTTAAAAAAAAAAAAAAAAAAAAACTGAACTAATCTGTACAGTGATTACTTAATTCGAAATTGTTTGCCATATATTTGTGCCACTAGCAAGCATACATGTTGAAAAGGCTGCAAGTAGCAAATCAAACTAGTACCTAATTAAACTGAGCAATAATAACTAATTTGTATATACCTTGTATACTGACATGACTTGATAATTTATCTTTAGAGATGCTACTGATATCTATTCAAGATTGTTTAACCCCAGAGCAGCCTCACAAGGACTGACCAATAACTTTGTCAAAGAGTTTGAGGAAAAGAGAGGGGAGAAGGAGATAATATCTTTGTCACCGACACACGAGGTTGTATTAGACTGCAGGGATCCAGCATTACATTCAAGCCTAGAAAATTTAAACAATAATGTTACACTCCTCAAAGAATCAGTTACCAAAACATTGCAAATGTCACAGGGAATCAGAGGCGTAGCAACCCTTCCCGGCGACAAACTTTTCGATTTGCACCCCCCCCCTCAATATTTCAGTTTGCACCCACCCTCAAACTTTCTATTTGCACCCCCCTCAACCTTTCAATTTATTTTTCCAACCCATTTTGGCGCCCCCTAAGGTCGGCGCCCGGGGACATATGCCCCCCCCCCCCCCCCCCCGCTACGCTACTGCAGGGAATTCTACAGGATTCTGATGAAAAAAAGGTAGATTGGATAGAATCACAGAGACAAATCAGAGAGCAACAGTGGAATGAATTTAAGCAGGCACAAGTTGTTCGAAGCTCTCGTGTTGATACAGAATTTAAAATCAAAATAGATTACCTAAAGAAACATTATACTGAGTTGGAGGATAAACTAAAAGAAGGAGCTAATCAAGTGCTTTGATAATAAACAGGATTTTAAGCCATACACTTAAGAAAATAGGAATAGAATATTTTAGGAATATTATCCATAAAAATCAAATTATTTCCAAATGGCAAAGACATTATTTAAATTGATTTGGGAAAAAAATGAAATTGTTTTATTTTATTAAAAAAAAAAAACTTTCTATCACCAAACAAAAGAAACAATACTTTAAAATCAAAGCTGTTATTTTTTAGCACCCTTATAAATGGCATAAAGTTTTAAAATTCAAAACTATACATTCTACTGTTTTCTCAATGAACCAAAAATGTTTTGTACTTGTATTAAGTTATTGACTTTCATTCAGGTGTTTAGTAGTGATTATGTGGTCAAATGGTAGAGCTCACGACTGAAAGAGTCATTTAGATTCGGGGCTTGAGTAGACTTCCCTTAGTCCACCCAGCTCTGATGGGTACCTGACTCACATCAGGAAATTAAGGCCGCTGGGCATAGTGTTGACCAAACTATCCCACTTTTGTCGAGGTCATTAAAACAGATGAGCTCTACTTCATCTGCTCAGTGTCTTGAGCATGAACAGAAACAGTTGATGATTTATTAAACTGAATGTTATTTAAATGCAAGTTTATGAGATGTTGAAATAAATTTATTATCTGTAAAAAAAAAAAAAGTAGGAAATCAATAGATTGCAGGTTCAAAGGCTATAAGTAGAAATAACAAGAATACAAGTTGATATTGGAAGAAGAAAGACTACAGGTTGAAAAGGTTACATGTATCTGTAGCCAGACTTCATGTTATACAGGCTACAACTACACATAGTGAGACTACTACATTTATTTTTAAATAATGTAACGCTGACTCTTACAATTCCAAAAATGTGCACACTCTCCAGTTTTTTTTAATGGTCAAATAAAAACCAAGTTTTTCTGGCCAAATGAAAACCTCACAAAGAGTTTTTTCTGGACAAATAAACACTTCACCAGTTTTTTCTGGACAAATAAAAACCTCACAAAATTTATTATCTGGACGAATAAAAACTTCACCAGTTTATTCTGGCAAAATAAAAACTTCACAAAAAGTTTTTCTGGCCAAACAAAATTCTCTGGCATCACGAATTTTTGCAGTATTTTTTTTAATCAATCAACTTATTAAGTCTGTCCTGCATGCTCCCATTTCCTATAACCAAGTTATAGTCCCTGCCAAAAGCTACTGATGGCAACAATGGCTCATTTTTTCTTGGAAACAAAAAAAAAAAAAAAAAAAAAAAAAAAAAAAACAGAAAAAAAAAATATTAAAAAAATCAATGTAAACAAAGACAGCACTGATTTAAAAAACAACAAATGTTTATTAATCAGATAATCACAGACCAAAGAAATATTATTTTTAGTCTTGCAAACTTTTTCCATGTACACTAATCTACCTTAAGGCAAATATCAATAACATGATGATATAGTTGACTCTAGTTATATACTCATGGACAATCTAGTGCACTATTAAATATTACAGGTATACAATTTATTCAACAAGACCACACGCACTTTCTGGTCAAAGTTTCCATTGAAATGTGCAGACACCTTATAAAAGGTCAAAACTAAAGGATGAAACCATAGGGTTTCCAGGTTATAAATAGTACAAAGGGAGTCAACTCTAAGAAAATATTTGGTAGTTTACTACTCTATCATCTAATACACATGATTTGTGTCAACAAAAATTGCTTTTTTAAAAACAGAAAAAAAAAAAATAAACAGTAATATGATCACTGTAACATAACCAAAATTAATTCATAATAACAACTGCTTCTAATTGATAAAAAAAAAAAACAGCCCTGCATTATTTAACTTTTTTTTTGGTTATCAGGTAAATATTTAGATAAAAATGAAAGAACAGGTCAGCCTTTAAGAGATTGAAATCAACCCATGTGATACACAATATGGTAATCTACTCTCTGTTTGTAAACTGCTTCTAATTTCAACTTCCAACCAATTTGCTTCAATGGACACTCACTGTTGGAACTCTTGATAATGATGCTGCCTGTGATACAAGATGAGACAAACATTAGATACATGTATACATTAGATACATGTATACATTAGGTACATGTATACATTAGATACATGTATACATTGGATACATGTATACATTAGATACATGTATACATTAGATACATGTATACATTAGGTACATGTATACATTGGATACATGTATACATTAGATACATGTATACATTAGATACATGTATACATTAGATATATGTATACATTAGATACATGTATACATTAGATACATGTATACAGAAGATACAATTGTTTTATACACATTTCTATTCAAAGGGAGGTTTATGGAACCAAATTTTGGACTTAGTGGTAAAGTTCCCCTTCCAAACCTGATGGTCTATGGGGCAAGTGAAGTAGAGTTCACCTGTTTCTGTGAACTCAGCATATGAAGGGTTAGTGTAGTCAGCACTTTTCCCAGCCTTTACTTTCTCTAACGTGAGTAAGGTACCCATCAGAGCTGAGTGGATTCAGGGATGGTCTGCTGACTTGAACCCTGATTCGAACTTTAAACTTACGGGTTAGCAGTCGAGTTCTCGACCACTAGGCCACTGCGCCCCATAAATTCTGTATTAGTGGTAAATTATTTCCCTTGTACTAAGAAAAAGTCAGCCACAAAAAATTACTCTTGATAATTGTGACAAATATTCCTTGCAGACAATTAATAATTTTCTGGCATGTGTATATTTCAAATTAATTTTTAATATAAAATCTGTATTAATTGGTATTAAATTAAATATTTTTGTTTTTAAAATCATCTTGATTTAATAAATATTAAATATTTTAGAAGCATTTTTAAAAATAGCTATCTAAATTTTGGATTTTGAAAAGATGATAAAATAATTTATAAACATGAACATGAAAATTGAAACCAAACATCAGATTTAAAACACGAAACCTTAAATTGTGAAACAAAAAGGAACAAATTAAACTTTTTAACAAGACCTACTGTATGGGACAATTTTGATCTTCCCCCAAAAATGTCATTACTTCTGTGTCTGGACCATCTCGATTGAAGGCAAACTATGTTTTGTTTTAGAATAATTAATTTTCAAACCGAAAGTTAAAAAATATCTGAACTAATCAAAACAAATGTTTTCCTTTTAACATGAGGAGAGAAAGACAAGCCAAATGTGGCATGCCATGCACCTAGAGAAACATTAAGAACTTATGAACATTAAGTGTACAGTGAGTATATTTTCTCATTAGGATTGCTAAACATATTGGAGTTTTACTACCTAAAAAACAAGACGGCATTGAGTTTTCTCCCTTGATAATTTTCAACCCTCCATATTCCAGCCTTTCAACCAAAAAAAGACCTTACCATTCTAGCTCTTTCCACACAAGATGTAAACGCATTCACAACAGAGGAGCAGTTAAGTATCTCTCTTGGGTTATTCTGGTAGCATTCTAGAACTTTCATCTGCAGATCTTCACACACAGGGCAGGCTGTGACATTCCTGCGCAGGTGAGGAAAACAAAAACATGAAATAAAATAAATACAGCAATATTAGCTGTTTTTAAAGGAATGTAAACTAAATATTGCTACTATAGCATATAGAATAACATTTAAATCCTAATATATAAAAAAGCCCATGTGTGCACTTCTCTCTCCCTCTCTCTCTGTCACATGTTTTCTCAGGCTATGAGATCAGTATCTTCAGCAATAAATGAAGACTTTTATTGAAAATAATGTTTTATAATAATTTTTCAAATAGCTATTGGTAGCCTATGTTATATTAAAATTCTTAAACATTCTATGCTTAATCACTTCTTCTTCGTTCTTAATTTAAGTGTTGAAGGAGTTCCACTTTAGCACAATGAAGTATACGTGTCAACTGGTTATGCGCCATTGAGACCAATGACTCTGATTTCAGCTCGCTTTTCTTTTTGGATTTGCTCCCATTGCCCTTGTCCAACCAAGAACATACTACAAGGCAGCAGTTGTTTGATTTTGGAGTTGTCTCTTCTACAAGAGTGGCTGTCCCCAGCTGTCAGAGGGTTCGAACTCGAGACTTTTCAGTTTAGCAGACAAGAGCTTTATCGACTCGACCACTCTGAGTTTTGACCAATAACTATTTTATAAAATACACTTCTCAAACAAGCTTGACATTATAAATATAGATTTATAATTCACGTGTAGCAGACATCGATGTCTAGTTACATATAAAAATGTATGCACTATTTATATATACAAATACTGAACTCAAGTTAGTGAAAGATAGCTAATGGCAAAATACTGAAGACAAAACCTACAAAAATTTGGCTTCCACTTCTTTCACAGCTTTGGCAAATTCCTCATTAGTTTGTTTCTGCAGGGCAGCATTCTGTAGAATACAGATTACAGTTTAATTATACAGAAACTGTTACTTACATCTAACAACATCTGCATTGACTGCACAATTGTTATCACAAGACAATGTCTAAACATAAACTGAAAAATTACAGAAAAACAAAAAGTAACAATTGAGATGCTACATTCACGATGTTTTTGTTAGTAGGTGTTATGTGTTGAGCAAGCAAGTGTTGGATATTTTTATTTCAACACTTCAATGCTGGGTACACAACTGTAGTGGTAATTACATTCTTAGGCTGGAAGAGTGCCAGCAAGATGGAGCTTTTTTTGAAACTCTGTTTTGTATTTTAAACACATTTTAAGCAAATAATTTTAAATAAACTGTTTTACATGTATAAAAATCTATATTAACATTTATTAAAATAACCTAATAAGCTAATATTATTATCTCTGCATATATATATATAAATATATATATATATATATATATATATATATATATATAGGAGTTTCCTGATTTGTGTAGATCTACCCAACCATCCTTGTTAAAAGTTTGGTAATACATTTGGTAGAGCTACACAGACTGTGTCAGAAGATGGGGAACATATTTGATAGAGTTACAGTGTCAGAAAATGGGGAACACATTTGGTAGAGTTACACAGACTGTGTCAGAAAATGGGGAACATATTTGATAGAGTTACAGTGTCAGAAGATGGGGGAACACACTGTTTAGATTACCCTGTTCTGTAAATCTTTGAGCTTCTGTGTGTAGAAATCATCAGCATCTTTCTTGAACACCACAGACAATCGATCACTGACCTCTTCCTTCGGCACAGATGGGACCTGGAAAATAAATGGGTTATTCAAACAATTAAACAATTATTTCTATTTATGTATTTGAAAAAAGATTTATTTATATATATATAAGCACTCATATAAGGCAGCAGCACTAGTAACTCATACAAAATCATAATGTGACTTAATGTCATTCAAATTAACAATATAGTTTATGTAGGGTACTTTAAAAATTCCCAATTAAAGATATTGTAACTAGCATTGGTACAATGACAGTAGCAGAAAAAATAAGGTACTACAATGCCCTATAGTTAAAAAATATTGAAAAAGTATGTATTTGGAGGGAAATGTACTTTCTGTACTAAGCTTTTATTCTGCCTGTACATCTCTTTGATTTAGGCTCTAGCCCATGACCACGGTTTATGCCACAGCAGTGTTACCAGCAAAACAAGATTACTATAAATTTACAAAGAGGTCACAATCATTGACACGTTTTAATGCTTAAATACACTATGGTCCTATTCATAGGTTAAAAAAATAAAAAATAAAAACTTACTGATTGCTGTTTGCTGTCTGAAACTGACTTGTTCACTGTCAAAAACATAAAAGGTTATTGTGTTAACACTTTTTAAAATACATCTTTTATTTTTGTTCAAGTTCATTTGACATTAGAGGCTAAAATAACTTAGGATAAATATCTCAGAAGCCAGGTTTCACAAGGCAATGGCATACCAGGCACTTGCCAATTAGCCAATGAAACATAAACATGTTAGCATCAATTAAATGACTTCATCTCTCTCCTTAATGTAACAGTATTGTTTTCTGTGATACTAGAAGAGAAGGATTAGGACTACAATAAGACAAGATTATGCGACTATGGCATATTTCTCATTACCTTATATGATGCCATAACACTTATTTTAAATAGTTTGTTATCACTTTAAATAGAAAACAGTCTGTTTATTACAAATAGTATGTATATAATTATGTATTATGAATATTATATGTATTTATTAATTTAAACTGTCTGGGTTGAAGATATCACTCACAAACCACAAAAACAATTACATGAACAACAGTTTCTACTAGATCTAAGCCTAACTAAGCTGACCCTTACCATAACTCATCCTACGCAAATGTATATCCTCCATGTTATCAATCAAAAAGTGTATAAATAGATGATATAAAAATTATTTGATGTGTCAAAGATGGATCATGCTTGACAATGAGAGTTTATAAAGTAAACTCAAAGGTCAAGTATAGTTGGTGCTGTTATGTGCACAATTGGGTTTTCCCAATGCCTACAGTGCAGTATCAACCACATACTCCACTTTTCAAGAAGTGTAACACATACATCCATTGTTTGATTTAACAAATAAATAAATATTGAATAAATGTTGAATAAATGTTGAATAAATATTGAATAAATATTGAATAAATATTGAATAAATATTGAATAAATATTGAATATATATATATATATATATATATATATATATATACATATATATATATATATATATATATATATATATATATATATATATATATATATATATATATATATATATATATATATATATATATATATAGACATACATACACACATCTATATTTGTAGCAGTTTTCAGAGAGAAGATAAATAAACCTGCATTTCATATCCAAAAGAAAATTTAAATCTACCTGTATTAGGGGTGGAGTCTTGAATGTCTGGCTGTCCCTTTAATCGTCGAACAACAGCTTCCGAAACCTGAGAACAGATTTGCATTGATAGTAAACTTAGAAATAGAGTACAAAATGTATTTCAACATTCAAGTTCACTTACAATGGATGGTGTGCTACAAATGGTCACTTATACAAACGAATGATAGGGGTCTCAACCAATAATTTTGTTAATATTCTTACAATGAATAAACTTTAAAAAGACTTGCGCAACACCAGCAAACCTGTCTTTGCTCACAGGATTTAAGTTGTTGTACCACATATGTAAATGTTTGAGGTCACTGGTCAACACACATGATCAGATGGCTAGTACTACACTTGACTAGACTAAGATGATGCAGCTAGAAACTCTAATTTATGTTTAAAAGTTTGTCATTTAACCACAAACCAGTAGTGACCTCCAACCACAAAGGTTCAAGCTCAGGTTTCAATTTTTTTTACTTTCTCGTATATACGAAGTATAGAGAAAGTATTGTAATCGTGCAAAAAAAAAAATCGAGATTTTTACAAATCTCGACGTTTTACACCTCACTGATACGGAAAAACATAATTTTGCAATCTTGTCCGTATGTCTGTATGTGTGTGTGTGTGTGTCTGTGTGTCCGTGTGTAAACACGATTACTTGAGTACCGTTACAGCTAGGTTGATGAAATTTCATATATAAGTATTTTATCAAAATCGTAGATCCGTATCAACTTTTGAGCGATTTTCGATAACCGGAAGTGGTACTTTTCCTACTTTGAATTTTTCAAAAGCCTATAACTTGAGTACTATTTCAGATAGATACATGAAATTTCACAAGTAAGTAAAAGATCTAATTCTCTACCTTCTGTTAAATTTTGAGTAATTTCCGTTGACTGGAAGTAGTAATTTACGCTACTTTCGATTTCTCAAAAAACTAATGTAAATTTTAGAAGTACTAATAATATTGCGCACTATTATGCGCTTTTTTATTTGGCGTTCACTTGGTGTGCAATTAATTTGTCTACGAGATTTTATTCTATTTTTAAAACTTTAAGTATTTAAAATGGATTAAAAATCATGTCTATAGCCCAAGTTCCCAACCCCTGTTATTTTATATAAGAATATTCGAGAAAGTTTAGGGGAGATCACTCCCGGTTTATTTTATTGAGTCTTCTATGTGATGAATGAAAACACTACATTGAACATCGTTTTAATTTGAATGTAAGACTATTAACAAATGAGATCTATGGTTTTCTATAGAAGAGAAATTTGTGCGATTTCAGTCAAAATCAAGAAATGCAATTTATTTTACCTTTAAAACTCAAAAGTTGGCTCATATTTAAAGTAACCAAGTACCTATCTCAGTATGCTGCTATTCTATCACATATTTATCACATTAAAATATCATCTTTTCCTTTTCGTGCCCTAAACACATGGGGCAGATGAAGTAGAGTTTGTCTGCTTCAGAGACCTCTGCATATGAAGGGATAGTGTGGTCACTACTATGACCAGCCGCCTTTGTTTCCTTAACGTTAGTTAGATACCCATCAGAGCTGGGTGGACTCATATACATTCTACTGACTAGAACCCAGATATGAACTCAAGACATTTTGGTTAGTAGTCAAGCTCTCTACCACTAGGTCACGCAGTCATTAAAATATATTAGTCCTCTTTTTTAAAAATTTGATCCCCTCTCCCAAATAATAGAAAATTATATTTATAGATTGTAACATAATATTTGAATAGGGCCTACAATCTTTATTCTGTATCACATTTGATTTATTTCTGTACTAAGAAAATAAAAAAATCATTTGTTCTTTTAATTTTAATTATTATTATTTAAATAATGCACACTAAACAATGAATTAGATTTTACTAAGATTCATAATAATATAAATGTAAAGAAAAAATTGAGATAGAACAGAGTAAACCATAACAGAAATCAAGCTTCCCTAGGCATGCAAGATTTGCATAGTGGCGTTATTTAAAAATGTAGTTAATACAGGACTAAGCTAAATAATATCTCATGGCTATTAGCAGCTCAATGGGAATACCTTGGCTTTCTGAGTTTAGTTATAAAAGATTTATTGGGGCCTACAAAGTGACTAGGCAGATGAAACTGCATACCACCAGGCCTCCCCAAAGCTCCAGTTTAGGTGAAGCAAATATGTGCATGCACAAGCATTCTTAGCATATGACATTCAACTTTATGACGTTGTGATATCGGTTTGGGTGGTCCAAGTGTTGGCGCATCAAGCAGGTTGTTTTCGTGGTGTGGGTTTCACTCCTATTGGTTCAGAATTTTATTTTGCTTTTTTCCCTACTTTACTTAGTTATATATATAAGACGAGCCGACCCGCTGCGTACCATACGCCGCTATTTAGTTGTTTTTTTCTTACTTTTCAGTAATTTAAAATTTGTGAATTCGACAGTACCAATGCTGTCACTGAAAACATTTGCTTAAAAACACTAAACCCCTCCTTCCCCCCCCCCCCCCCCCACGTGAAAGCAGCCTCCTCTTAGTTACCTCCTCTAAGTTTAAAATCGTCTCAAACTAAATTATCTGCCCCTAATAGCCATCACCAAACCCGTCTCTATGATTGTAAAATGTAAACAGAGTGAACACCGCTCACCAGATCATGTGGGGGTGGGGTGGGGGTGGTAGTGATAGTGATAGAGAGGAAGAGAGGGGACTGCAAAGGCGCGCTTGCAGCTTGTTTTCTAACTGATCCCAGAAGAGAATTATATATATAGATAGAAAGCTCACTAATTTCAGAGGCGTGGCCGGTTGCTAACAACAATATGGCGTACAGACCGTCTTAGTTCCGTCTTTGGTTTGGAGAATGGAGGCTAAATTCAACAGTTGGTTTCATTAAAATTAATAGAACTTTTAAAATATTAACGGTGTAGGTACAAAAATGAGCATTATTAGTTTTATCGGTCTATGAGAAAGAAATCGAATATTGTGAGCTGTTTTTTTTTATAAGACCGGCGTTCAAATCACAACCAATTTATTTTTATTTTTTAAAAACCACGTGACTGTTATTTGGTTCATCACTAGTAAGGAACCCTGATGCATAGCCTATTGAAAAGTCGAACTGATTTGTGGTTTGCAGTGGCTTCAAACGTAAGTTGTGTTGTCATGGAGTGGTGTGTGGTGTCGTGGCAGTGAGTGACAATAAATATTAAATTAAGTAATTTATTTTAAAATGAACTAAAAACTTCAGAATTAGTGCCTAATGGATTAAATATGGATGTCTATTATTCAGTGGTCATGTTTAAATTGAAAATTGCGTAAATTTTACATTTAGTGAGAAAATCTGATAAGAGATCGGTAAAAATCATGATATAGCGTCGTAAATTATCCAGTGATTTTAGTTGAGTTTCGTTAACATTCGTTACCATAAACCATATTTTATGTCACCGTTGAAATAAAAATAAAGTCAAGTGCCTTAAATTAATGTTTTAACTTAATTTAAAGTTGAATTGACAGAAAATTAGCAACAATTAGTAAATCTAAATATTGTTAATAAAGTCAAGTGTAATAATTAATGTTTTTTAAGAAACACAGAAAAAAACTTGCAGAATATTTGTGACAACTAGATCTAGTAAATTTAAATAAGACGATTAGATTTAGGCTACTAGTTAAAAGTAGTAAGAAGAACAAGAACTATGTTTAGTAGCAGCAATAATTAGCACATACTTTTAAATAATTAGAAATACAAAATAAATAAATAGGCCTAGCTAAACAGTATTTAAAATGCGACTAAAATCAATCCATGCAAATTTGTAAAAATTATCGAAGATAAGTATTAAAAGAATATGACGGCAAACAAATGATGGTTTACAGTATTTCCGGTGGTTTCCAGAACGGCTGGACAAACTAAGCCATGATTTTACTGTTTTTTACTGCTGTACAATTCCGGAATAATAAAGGACGTTATAATATCGGATCGAGATTTTACCAAGAGATCTGTGTGTATGGGCATTTGCAATGAATGAATATAATTTATAGTTTGTCCTGGCTAGAATCAACCTTATTTTTAAATCTAGAATTCTAGTTTTAAAGGGTTTAAATCAATTTTAAGTTAAAATTGATTGATTGTTATCAAGACTGGTCACTGATCAAGTCAACACATCACAACTCAACTGATCACCATGAAGTTGAACTCCATGCACTGAAAGAAAACAAACTTTTTAATTTCTCTAGAATCGAAAATGGAACCAGATTACAATCAATAATTCTAGATTTGTATACCGTGACAATATCCTCTCCACCTGCATCTTCTACAATTACGCGACGAGTACTTGTATTGCCACCCATTTAATACGCAACAGCAAGACCAAAGTCGATAAACTAGGCTGTGTATTGTAATGTTTGCCTTTTACTATGACCGGCGGAAGTAAGGTCAAATAATATATTTTTGATTTTTTAGCGCAAAAGATTCTGAGAATCTAAACTCATAATTCTTCTTAGGTCTATAAAAATAATTATTAAAATAATAATATGAAGTGATATTTCAAACAATATCAATAGGCCAATAGGCTAATACTTATAATTATATATTATTTAGCATTGTTTTCCCTTTTTTATAACATGTTTAAATAAAAACAAACATCGAATACGAAAAGAAAACAGTACACGGATTTAAAAAATAAAACGCCTAAACCTAAAATTTTCATCACGTCCCTAACTACTAGGAGTAAGAGCTCGACAACCTATCCCCCTTTGGAGATAAAGAAAAAAAGCTCATTTCCAAAACCCAAAAACGTTATTACAATTAGATATAGATCTAGACCTATATAAGACAAACTGGTGTTAGATGTAGTGGCGTTAATACCCACCATGAAACCGAGGTTGAATATACAGTTTGTTATACTTGACTTTCATCCCCCACCACACACATATATACCATAATGGTTCTTGTGAAGCTTGTAGGCTAACGTAACAATAACCTAACAGCAGGGCTATATTTCTGACCCATTCAGAGCTTTACATTTACATATGCAAGCCCTCCTTCAATATAGTATTATATTGACATTTGAATAGACCACTTTTAAATAACTTTACAACTCCTAACCACCTTATTATATGTTTGATTGAGCGATGGCCCTTCATACTGAGGGTGACAATGTCGGCAGAGTTTCTTCCAGGCATCTCTTCGGGGGGGGGGGGGGGGGGGGCAAAGCCCCCCCCCCCCCCAAATTTTTTATTTTACCGCCCCCCCCCCCCCCCCCGAACGAAATGAAATTTATATAATTATATAGAAAATTTATACTTTTAACAGTGTCCGCCCCCCCCCCCCCCGAAGGAAGTCTACCGCCCCCCCCCCCCCCGAAAATTTCAAGTGCCCCCCCCCCCCCGGAGAAAAAAGTCTGGAAGAAACACTGAATGTCGGTAGTGGTAATTTTTAAAAGTGAAGAAAAACTTAACAGCTAGAATAAACAGCGATGTCTAGCGAGAAGTGTTTCTTCCAGACTTTTTTCTCCGGGGGGGGGGGCACTTGAAATTTTCGGGGGGGCGGTAAACTTTCTTCGGGGGGGGGGACACTGTTAAAAGTATATATTTTCTATATAAATTTCATTTCGTTCGGGGGGGGGGGGGGAGCGGTAGACTTTCCTCAAAGGGGGGGGGGGGGGGCGGAGAGATGCCTGGAAGAAACTCCGAGTCCGAGTTCAAATCCGGGTTCAGTAGAACATGATCCCTCAGTCCACCCAGAGTTTCTTCCAGGCATCTTTTTAAAAGAAAGCCCCCCCCCCCCCCCGAACGAAATGGCATTTATATAAAAAACATAAACTTTTACCAGTGTCCCCCCCCCCCCCCCGAAAATAATAAGTGCCCCCCCCCCCCTCCGAAAGTATCAAGTAGAACGACCCTGAGTCACCAAGCTCTGATTTTTTACCAAATTCACGTTGTTGGGAAAGTATTCGGCTGGGCATATTGCTGATCACATTATCAATCCAAGTCAGGTTTGATTAGGGAACTTTACTTTGTAATAAACCTGCGTTCTAAACTAATACCAATATTTTGCATTTCTCGTCAGAAACCAGAATACCAGAAATATCAAATTATCAAAAAGATATTACTGTTGTGTAACAATTGTAATGTAAAATTAATGATCACAAAAATCAAAGATTAACTCGTCATAAGAGTGCCGTGTTACGGATCAGTGTTTCTTCCAGACTTTTATCTCCGGGGGGGGGGGGGGCTTTGATATTTCCGGGGAGGGGGACAACATTTTCCAGGGGGGTGGGATGGACACTGGTAAAAAATATATGTTTTTATATAAATTCCATTTCGTCCGGGGGGTAGGGACTTTCTTCAGGGGGGTGGGGATTCTGGATCCTACCAGGTGAAACTTTAGAGCACGGGTTCCCAACCTGGGGGTCGCGACCCCCCTGGGGGTCGCGAAGGGCTTTCTGGGGGGTCGCCAACTGGTATACTAAACCTTAGTAATTTGAAACAAAACATAAGTATTTAGAAGAATTTTTGAAATTCGGCTTTACTAACATCACTGGAAAGGGAATAGAGAAGAAGCAAAGCGTACTGTACAAAGTTTTTCTCAGTCACGAGTTTATGAAATCTTCAAAACTAAAACGTCTTTTGAGACGAGTCATTCGAAACACACCAAAAAGATATGGAGTTCTTTCGTCGGTATGAAGCTAGTTGCAAACGTCAGAGACTTGATCGAACAGGAAGTTTTCACCAAGGAAACACAGCATTAGTGCAAGCATCACATGAAATCGCGTCAGAAAATGCCAAGCAAAAAAAAAACACAATAGGAGAAAATCTCATCAAACGCTGCATGTTGAAGATGGTGAAGTTAATTCTTACATGTCCGTAGATGTTAAATAACACATTTTTATTGAAATTAAGCTTTCACCATTGTTTGCTTTTCAAGTTGATAAATCAATAGACGTGAGTTCGTGTTCGCAGTTGCTGGTCTTTGTCTATATTCATGCGGATGATAGCAAAGAAGAGTTGCTCTTTTGTGAAGATAGCATGGAGACAATAAAAACGTTTTTTTTTTAAATTGGATGATTAAATGGGTTAAAACGGCTGTGAGGGTTTGTACGGATGGCGCACCATCTATGTTTAGGTCAAAATCGAGCTTTCAGAAAGCAGAAAAGATTTAGCTCCCTAACCATTGCCCTCACCGATCGCCATCAAGGATCCATTGCTAGTATAAGTGGTAAATTATATAAAAATCTGGAGCCTTCAAAGAACTGAACAAAGACCTGAATAAAGATCACGAGGTTCTGCTCTTCTACACTGCAGTGCGATTGCTGTCAAACGAATTGTTGTGAATCGTGTTTTTGAATTGAAATCTGAAACCAAATTGTTCTTGGAAGTGCAAAGAAAACAAGACCTTTTGGTATACTTAAAACTACATAGAGTGGTTGGAGAGAGTATCATACCTAGCAGAAATATTCGAACATCAACATAAGCATAACCTGAAGCTTCAGGGAAAATGAACGAATATTATCACTTTCCATGATTATCTCGAGGAATTTTATCAAAGCTGCAAAATCGGTAAAGAAAATAAATCTTGGAAATATTGTAAATTTGAGAAACTCTGCAGTGTGGTAGATGAATCTAATTGTGAGATATTTAAAATTTTGAAAGAGGAAATTTCTGGGCATCTTGAATCAAGTGAAAACGTACTGCAGCGCTATTTCTCTGAGCTAAAAAAAAAGAATCTGCATTGACGCATTACCCATTCTCTTCTTCCCTCGATGTTGCCAGCATTCCCGATGAATTACAAGAGGAATTCTTTGATTTGTAGAATGATTCCGCGTAAGATAAAAAAACTGCACACTCAATTTTGGTGTAGTATTTACCATTCATACCCAATCGTAAAATTGATTAACTTTTCGATAATAGATTTTCGTTAACAAAAAAAATGCTTTAAAAATTAACCACGAATGTTTAGTGAATAGTATGCAATTTTACTCATGGTATTAAAACAGTTATCTAGAGTAGTTCATATTGAAAGCCTACTAAAAATGTTATTTTAGTGTTTATTAATTTCCATACTAATTTCGGCTTTTTAATTCTATGGGGGTCGCGGGTCATTTAATTTTTATAAAAGGGGGTCGCCACTCGAAAAAGGTTGGGAACCACTGCTTTAGAGCGTGACAGCAAAACAACTCCTTTCAAAGTTTAGTAAGAAAATAATGTTTCCTTCCAGTTTAATTGATGAATTCGTAAGGTTAAATTAGTTAAATACGATATAAAAAGGCCAACTTTCAACATTTTAAGCTATAATAGGCCCTATATATTATTTCAATTTGCTTTGAATTCAATATCATATTTATTCGGTGCAATAGACACTCAATTTTAATTAAATTTAGATCTATATTATTAAGCCTATTTGATTATTGTACTAAAATATTTGCACTAAATATAATTACATCCATCGTTTTTCTTTTAAATAATTTAAATTTACTTCATTTTGAAGACCAATCATATTGAAACGAAATATTGCGGTATTTAGAGTAACCAATTTTAGATCCAAAGGATAGATCTTGCTAGTGTGTCTTATACATTTCTAGTTCTAGAATCTAGAATCTAGACACAGATATTACAAAAATACGTCTACAGCTGTGTTCTAATAAAGCTAAAGGTGTATATTATTGAAACATCACTAACGGTCTCTACTATTTCTCTACTCTACTCTAGTCAAGACTCTAGTCCTAGTCCTACTCGGTAATCTATCATATCGTTTTTGTTGGGTAGGCCTACGTAAAAAATAAAAATAGGCCTACTAAAAATATAAAATCGCCCGCGGCTATTATTAATGTACGAAAACGTTACCTCATTGTCAAGGCTTTAATAGAAGTTATTGTCATATGTTTGTGTCAAAGATTATAGAGTCCTTGCAAACACGTGACCTAAATCACGTGATACCTACGCCCGCCGCCACAGTGGTGTACATCAGACGTAAACACAATCAGCTGTTCGCCAGCGCTGGACGTGTTCACCAGCACTGGACGTGTTCACCGTATGTAAAGAATCGCGCCCGCGGAAAAGGAAAAATATGTTAAAAAACTTGAACTCTTAGGAATTGAAGATCCTTATACAGTTATTGACAGTTTCGTGGATAATATAAATATGTGGCCGAAATTTCTAAATAAAAATACTGTTAGTAATACCGTTTGCGTTTAGAGTTTAAGTAGACGAAGCTGATCAAATGCAGTAATATATTATAGGTTATCTACTGTAGCAAACGTGAGACCACTTAACTCCTACAAAACCCACACTACAACGGCTAATATAATCCATGGGTAATAACCAATCTGGGTAGCATGTTATACAATTTAAGACCCTTATAATCCAACAGGGAAGTAATCAGACACATTAATACTGACGTTCAACCTTCATGATGGCTGCCCCCACCTGTATCTAGCCCACAATAAAACCAAAGAGGAGTCTGCCCTGCCCTCCCCTGAAAATGTCTCACCTCCGTGATACCCAGCCCCACAGAGATAGTATTTCTTATATAATTTTGACCCTCAGGGCCCAGCAGGGAGAACAAAGGGGAAAGTCCCACTGCTCTCCCCTCAACATTTCTCACCTCGGTGTCATGTTATGTCATTTATAGCACACATGGCTTATCAGGGGAAAGCATTAAGAATCTTAACTCTGGACAGCTACACACTAGTATACTAGCTACACACTAGGTGCCTACTGTAAACTACTAGACTGTAGGCCCTATGTAGACCTGCAATTGTATCAATTGTAGACTGGGTCCATTGTTATTATTCTAAACCATCTCACTTATGTTTCTAGCTTGATTTGTTTCTTTTATAAACAGTGGATTTAAAAAAAAATTAGCCTAATCATTAACCAAATAATAATAATGTGGTTATTTGTTGTTGGCTGGTATGATCTAGATTGTACTACTAGGCTACAAAAACTTAGTAGACCAATTACTAGATATGAATTTGAATTTAATTAAACTCAGTCCAGTATCAGATACATATTGCTGTAAAAAGACAACAAAGTAGGTAGGCCTTAGTAATTTATTAAAGCCTTCTACTACAATAATATCAACTACATGCTTGTATAAAGTTTTTACAATTTAATTTAAGTAGCAGATTCTAGATCTAAGTCTAGTCATACAATCTATTTCAATTTCAGAAAATTTCGTTTGCTAAAAAAATAATTAGATAATAGAGCGAGATTTTAGATCTTAGAGACAATTAAATGCTTTAGTAGGCCTATTATGACTACTTTTGATTTATTATGGGTGTATTTTGAATCGAATGTAGATCTAAAGTAATTAAATTTAAGTAAAGAAGTAGATGCTAGATTCTATGTCTACCCAGCGGAGCCAGGTATTAGGCCTACTATTAGATCTTATTATTCTTATTATTACTTTTGACTTTGTCTTTTACTATTAGTATTTGTGAAGGTCGAGCATATTTGTTTTATTAATAGTTATCTTTTATAATTAAAATGAAGTTTATTATTTTACTGTCCTTACCTGAAACAAAGTATCGAGAACTGCATTTGATCAGATTCGTCTACATTAACTCTAAACGCAAACAGTATTACTAACAGTATTTTTATTTAGAAATTTCGTCCACATATTTATATTATCTACGAAACTGTCAATAACAGTATAAGGATCTTCAATTCCTAAGAGTTCAAGTTTTTTAACGTATTTTCCCCTTTCCGCGGGTGCGGTTCTTTACATACGGTGAACACGTCCAGTGCTGGTGAACACGTCCAGCGCTGGCGAACAGCTGATTGTGTTTACGTCTGATGTACACCACTGTGGCGGCGGGCGTATGTATCACGAACGGACGTGACGTCATATGAAAGGACTCTATAGATAAATGAATAATAAAACGAAATCAATGGCTAAATAATAATAATACTAATAAATAGTTAGTTTAGTAAATACTAAATAGGCCTAGGCCTATAATCTATAATATATCGTCTCGATATAGGTCAGAAATGAACTTTAAACAGCAGTGTCTGAGAGCATGATTTGCTATAAATATAAACAGCAGCCATTTGTAAAATAGAGTGGCTTCCCCCTGAATCTCGCGCTATAAGCTTATAAAAATAAAACTTAAACTAGATGGCTGTTATCTGTTATAGTAAATGAGCATGGTTGCATCTGTTGGAAACATCGCTAGTCTTCATTTATTACGGAAAAGTTTTAGGCCTAATTCAATTGTTTAAAAACATGTACATATAGATCTAGTTATAGTTATAGGCCTAAATGAAACAAGGAAACATGTTTGTATTTTAAAAAACATAAATCCTTCTCAAAATGTGAAATAATTATTAAAATTTAAGGAGTCACCTGTTTTTCACATTACAAGTCGCGGGCGATTTTACGTACCTAAAACGATAGATTACCTCCTATTCTTCTACTATAGGCCAGTATAGGCCTAAGTTGTTTTTTTTACTAGAGTCTAGATTCTAGATCTAATCTAGATCTAGATCTTGTTACTAAGTACTAGGCCTAACATTTTTATTTAGTGCTATTTAGTTAACTACCTGTAACCTAACATCCCTTTTTTAAAGAAGATTCCATTATCGGACACCGGTTTAAACATTCTCCCCATTTTTATTTTAAGTTTAATCAACAGAAAATTTGCCACAATTGGGCTACATCTTGGATCTAGAATCTAGATCTAAATTAAATATAATTAGGGCCTAATAAAGCGAAGTATCTATTCACAGTCGACTGTGAATAGCCGTATTGGGGCTATTCACAGTTGTGATCGTTTTTGATAGATTTAATGTTAAAAATACCCTACTGGGCATGAAGATGTGTAGTCGCGCGATCATGGGGAGTGGCTATCGTGCCAGAAGGTGCGGGTTCAAATCCATCAGATGTCATATTGCCATGACTCTTAAACTTAATGTATGCCTTTTAATGTTATTATCAAAATATTTTTTCACAGTTACTTGAGGGTTATTTTTGTTATTTTTTTTTTGTTTTTAAGATGTAATTGTTGGCATATCAGCAAAAAAAAAAAAAAACCCTCCCGTAGATTTTTGCTAAGAGAAAAAACACAAAAGTGTGATGGAAACTGTGAATTATGGCTGATGAAAAAGGACATCCTATTGCACCTGATATTTGTTTTATGTGATAATGTGAATTTTTAATGCTAATTGACAGTTGAATAGCAATGTGAACAACCAACTAAACTGATGCTTAATTAGTATTATTTATTTAAAAATTACCAGATCTATTAGTCTAGTATAGATTTAGAGTGCATAATTGTCAATTTGATCATCCATCTATGACGTACGTAGCCTTTAGCAGATATGTCTGATATGAACATAAAAGCGTAACTGAACTTAAACCGTAATAACTTTTTTTATAAAAAAATAACACAATAAAAATAGTACTGCTCTCTTAATCTATACCTCACTCTTCAGTCACAATAAATGCTTTTATTATTGTAAGATATTATTCACAGTTGTATTTAGCATGAAATGACAGCCGACTGTGAATAGCCGTATTGGGGTTATTCCCAACCGGCTGGGAATAGCCTTGGCCAATAATGAATAAGGCTTTAAGTCAATTGACCTCAAACACCATTGCAATGGTTGGACCAACTTGATGGTTCCATTTTTTTTAAAGCCTGCCAATGGGGAGGGGGGATGTTTTTACTGGTATGAATAAAAACACTGCTAGTCTTCCAAAATATCCATATTAAGTCATTATGAAACAAAAAAATAAAATAAAAAGAAATGGAGGCCAGAATAGCATGACATAACTCAAGAATAACCTCTTCTTAAGAGTATTCTGTTAACAGTAGGGCATAATGTACTAATACTGCTTGCATCAATTGCTACTAAGGAGTTGAGTATTAATCGATAATAACTTATACTACTAATCAGATTTTATATGCTAATATTATAAATTTAAGAGTGTTATTTTTTTTTTTACAGATATATATTGCTGCTCTAAAAAAACAATAATTCTGTGCCTTATGTCAACTCTTTAATAAAATGTCACACCCAAAACGCGTTCAAACACCAGCCTATAAAGTATACATGTCTTCTTACCCATCTGATAAATATGATGAGAATGGAAGCCAGTCAAAGTCCTCTGATTCCAGAAAAATGAAGAGCTCAAGTGGCAAGAAGAAAAGGGATGACTTGTATGATTCTGATGAGGAAGTCATAAAAACCAGTGCACCTAAAAGTCTGATGGATACAAAAGATTCCTACTCAGACAAACAGTATAGTTATAAGACATCTTCTTCTCGAAAGAAAGACAGCTACTCTGGTGGTGATGGAAGATCTGCACAGTCTCTAATGGACATAGATTTTAGTGGTGGGCCTGAAAGCTCATCTGTCAACTGGAAAGATTATTCCGGCCGCCATGCCCATTCATCTGAAGAAGATGAGACCGAACGAAGAACTGACTGGAAAGATGACAGAAAATTCAGCAAATATTCAGATTCAGAAGAAGAGGATAAAGATAATTGGCAGAGAGATAAAAGTGAAAAAAGTAAACGCTCTTGGAAAGAGTCTTCCTCCCATAATGAGCCATTGATTGTTGATTTACCTGATAAGATAAATGATGCTGAAAATAAGTCATCAGATGCTCAACGTAAACCCAAACCTTTATTGGAGACGTACGTTCTACCCCCAAGTAAGAAACCCATGAGTTTACTGGATCTTCCGAATACAGGCAGTAGAGGTGGAGAAGGTTATAATAAACGTAAGCAGAATCAAAAGAATCGTTCTAGAAGAGGGGAGGGGAAACATTCTGGATCAAAATCACAAAATGATGATGAAAGGCAATCATCAAAAAAATTAAAGCTTGATAAATCAAAAGACAAAGTTCTAATAATAGATTCAACCAAGTAAGCACTTTTGTAATTGCTTCAAGATTAAGATTTTAATTACTTTTAATTATCTATTGTTAAAATTTTGTTTGACTCCGCCATTCTATTTCATTATTGTTTTTTTTTTCTTCAGAATTTCAGTCATAAAACACAATGGGCACATCTTTGTCTTGGTACCTTCATCTTTATCACTGACATATTTACACGGGCGTGCAAAGGTTACAGCTTTGTTGGGAGAAGTGAGCATACTGGCCTGTAAATTACAAATAGGGACAACTTATGATGTCTATTCTCCTGCATCATGCAGCTTGCTCTCCTTGAATGTTAATGGAAGTAAAACTTTCCACCTTGATGATCACAAGTCAGAGCTGTCAAAGTATGGTTTTCCTGAAAATGATAAAGAAGTGAGTTTATATCTTGTTTTGTAAAAAAATTTAAGGACTTCAAAATTTTGCATACTGTAGTATTGTGGTGTTTAATTAATATAACAAAAAAAAGTTTTTGCATTGATTATAAATAAATGAGGGATGGAGCGGTCTAGCGGTAGAGAGCTGGACTACTAACCCGTAAGTCTCGAGTTCGAATCCGGGTTCAAGTCAGTAGACCATCCCTGAGTCCACCCAACTCTGATGGGTACCTAACTCCCATTATGGAAAGTAAAGGCGGCTGGGCATAGTGTTGACCACACTATCTCTTCTTATGCCAAGGTCACAGAAACAAGTGAACTCTACTTCACTTGCCCTATAGACCTTCAGGTTTGAAAGGGAACTTTACTTGATTTAAAATAATTTTATAAATAAATGACTGGATTTCTATTTTCTGCTTATACATTTTTTTTTTAATATTTCAGCTGGAGAAAATTGGAGCTAACATCAGTGCTGTTATAATGCTTGACAAACTTGAGTCCACTATGTGTGACTACGTGACAACCTTCATTCCATATTCCCAGCTCTTCATAGCTGGTCCATGTCGAGATGTTGAACACATGAAAGGTGTAACTCTGCCTAAATTAGGCCTAAAAATTGCGCCATATAAAGAAATGGTATCCACTTGTATGAACATGTCACAAGATTATGAAGATGTTCTTAGCAAATGGTCTGACAGGTTGTCAAAGAGTGTAAATGGTAAATCATAACTTTCTGAAATATTTTTTTTGTCAGTGGTATATTCTAAGGTTTAAAAAAACAAGTTATTACAGTGTAAAATGGCATGTTGTAACTTTCCGAAAAGTTTATCGTGTTAGTGGTATCTCCTTAGTTTACTGTGCAGATACATAACTTGTTCACTATTCGTCATTTAACCAAATGTTACTTTTGCAATACACAATTGTATCTGATCTTTGTAAATTATGTTACAGTTGTTAAATTAGTCTCTTTAGGAATAAAGGACAGTAGTTAGAACAAAATGCCATTAGGGTCTAGAAAATATCCTTTGATAAATTTGAGTTTGTTTTAAATCTCTATTTCATCGAGTTTTTATGCTAGCTTTGTTCCTAATCTGTAGATGAATTACAACCAATTGTTCTTTGTTGTGGGGCAAAAAGCACAGGAAAGTCAACATTTAACCGCATGCTGATTAATACCACTCTACAAAGGTAATTTTAAGCATTGAGATGTAAAACTTTTTAATCTGTTAACATATTATACTTAGGGAATGTTCAAAATTTATATTTATAATTTCAAATAGTAGGAACAGAACTTTTTGAAGAGATATGGATATTAATGAATATTCAATCGAAATTTTTATGTGAATTTTTTGTTGAACTTAACATCACCTGGTACATTTCGCAAATTTTTTCTACAGCACGGCTGCTGTTGCCTACTTGGAGTGTGATGTTGGTCAGACTGAGTTTTCTCCCCCTGCCACTGTATCTCTCCACATCATCACTCAGCCTGTTTTGGGTTTGTTCTTCCAGCCACATTAACTTTTATGAAAAGCTTGTTTATTTTTTGTGTCATTATAATTATATTACAACTTTTTTAAAAAGCCTGATTTACTTGTGTGATTAGTGATTGTAAAAAGCCTGTTTTACTTGTGTCTTGTCATTACTTGCTTATTTCATTTTTAGAATTTGTTTTTTTATAGGCCCACCATTTTGCCATCAGTTACAAGCAGAAAAGTAAGTTGTTATTTAGTTTAACCCTTACACTCCTGACCAACTATTTTCTATTTCCTCTGGACTGGATAAAATTTTACCATCAGTTTCCAGAGTCCCTGAAATGCTTTTGCCATAAAACTATATCTCATAGGGTCCCGGAAAAAATGTAATTTTTTTATTTTCAACAATTGATAACATGTTGAGAATTATTTAATTCAAATTAAGATAGAAGAAATTCAAGTAAACTATGCTAGTAGCAGTGATATATCACAAAAATAATTTTCTTTAGCCGTTAAAAGGCCTGCATCAAGGCGTCTGGTTTTGATGTCTCAGCCATTATGTCTAGGCCTATTCACTGGCAAGTCACAGCCATGAAAAATTTTATTTAAAAAATAACACTTTTTATAGTTAAAAAAAGCTTAACTTTGTTGTTTTAAGATAAACACACTGCCATATTTTTTATGATTCTCCATTCCACAGGAAAAATAATCATAACATTTTTGGCCAATAATTATGATCAGGCAATTAATTATTCAAGAAACATTGTCAGTTTAGTGTTATCTACAAATTGTGATATAATATTGTGAATATAATTTTTTAAACAAAACAAATAATCATTATTTGACTGAAAATCTACATAGAATGGTATTTTATGGTGAGACAACACCTACCCAAGATCCATCATTGTATCTGAAGTGTCTGAAATATGTATTCAGTGCCTATAAGGAGGTGCAATCTAAGATGCCATTGATTGTAAATACGATGGGGTTTCCAGAAGGTTTGTCAATTTAGACTAATATTTTATTTGCTTGTCCTAAATTCTTTCTTTAATGTTGATAAATCTTTTTATCTACATTATGTTTTGCAAAAAATAAATTTTTTAAAAATAATAAAAAAAATAATATATTATTCAGTAGATGATGAAATATTTTTGTAGGTAAATAATAATTTTTTAAATTGGCTTTAGAAATGTTTTTTTGTCAGTTAAAGATAATTTCATTCTGTACATTCCCTAGGGATTGGCCTGATGCTTCTAATTGACACAATGCACATTGTCGAGCCTGACCTCGTTGTGCAGCTGGAAAGCTTTAACCAGGCTGCCAATTTCCCAGCCATCACCCAGGAGCTGGTAGCCTTGGAGGAGGGATGGACCTACAACAAACTCCCAGTATTTAGCTTTTTTCATCAGCTTTTAAATCTGCATAATGACACCAGTCTAGAGGAAGAAAAAAAAAACCTTGACGCCTGTAGCCGATTCTCAAAACCCCATCCCCATTTATCCAAAGACCCTCCCCAAAATGTATCACGTCCTTCTCAGTGTATTGTCCAGCCTGGCCACCTCAATATCCCCAATCCTGAATCCCACCATTGCAAAACTACCTGCTTTTCATCTACTGTATGTAAAAAAAATAATTCTGGAAGTAAATTTTAATATATTGCTACCGTATTGTTTGCTTGGACACACAAGTATAGAATCATAAGGAAACTTTTATATCTTTTATATAATTGTTTTCTTAATATATAAAAAAAAAGGTAACACCTTTGAAATAAATGGAACTCTAGTCAACACTTGTAAAGCATTCAACTTGGATTTTGAGCGTAGAAGTTATATCTCAAGACCTCGAAAGTTTATAGCTCATTTTTAAAGCTTGAAGGAAACATCAATAGGATCGTCAAGGAAGTGAATAAGTTTGACGGATTCTTGCTCCATCCCAGTTTCTTCCTTCCCCCTCTAATCCATTTCTGTAAGTCATCCATTCCCAGTACAGATATATACATCTATCCCCTCCTTGAACAAGATATTCCACTATGTCCAAAGGCCACCCCATCCCCATTACCATATATTAATGTTGAGGACGAATGTCTTATGCATGCTCACCAACATCAACTTCAAGAAACTGCCTATGAATTAAGTCAGTGAACAAGTTGAATCCACCTGGGAATCGTTTTCATGAAGCAAACATTGCCACTCCCCCCCATATCCCTAAAAACGTGGAATCACGTACAAACTTCCTTATCCCATTTCCTATTTACTAAACCCAGCTCACATCGGTGGAGGTGTCGATCAAGGTAGTTAGATTTTTATTTTTACATTTTTCTTGCACAACTTTCTCACAACATTTGCATTTCTTTGCCTTTCTTTTGTTAACATTGTTTTTCTTTCTTTTTTTGAGACTACCATGAAATAAGTTAGTGTACTTTTAAGGTACTTAAATAGTTCTTAGGTAGATGTCCGACAATGGTATAATATGTATTTTTTTATTTCACCTATAGTTAATTAACAATATCCCACAAATTAGTTCTAGTTGAGCAAGAGTTAGATATCCTTGCACTAAAACCACACACCTTCGAAGCAGTTGATTTTTCATTTTAAATAAATATTAAGTGTAAGAAGTGGATATGTGTAGAGTGTAATGAATGGTTAATGTGTAGAGTGTATATAATGTGTTGATTGCAACGAATGAACTAGTTTAGAGTGTGATGAATGGATAATGTGTTGAATGTAAGGAAAGGATGTGTTGTGAATGTAAGGAATGAATTTGTGTAAAGTGCGATGAATGGATAATGTGTTGAATGTAAGGCATGAATTTGTTGAGAGTGATGAATGGATAATGTGTTGAATGTAAGAAACACATGTGTGTTGCCGAGCCTAATCTAACTCAATTGCATGCTACTGTAGTTACATGAATGCACAGTTCTTTTTGTTACAAAGTTTATTATACTTACATTATTTGCATTATTTTTCTAGTTTTTAACATCCCTTGCTTAAACAACTAATAAATAAATCACATCCCTAAATAGTTAAAATCTTTTTATTTAAAAAAAAGTGCTTTTAAAAAAAAAGAATTTACCTTCTGTTTATTGAGTTCTGTTTATTGAGTTCTTATATCATTACTTGTGGGTCGTAAATTGTTTGAACTAATTACTATGAAATTCCTTTCTGTAGGTTAAAGACCCTAAACAAAAAGTGCTGGAGACACATGCCCATGACTTGCTTTTCCTCTCTACCCTTGTGAGCCAGCGAAGAGAGTAAGACAATGTTTTAAATTGTTGGGTGTTTTAAGTAGCTTTAGAATGGGATGTTTTAAGTAATTGTTCTTCAAAATGGGATGTTTTAAGTAGCTGTTCTTTAGAATGGGATTTTTTAAGTAGTTATTCTTTAAAATGGGATGTTGTAAGTATTTATTCTTTAAAAGTGGATATTTTAAGTAGTTGTTCTTTAAAATGGGATGTTTTATTTAACTAGTTGTTCTTTAAAATGGGATGTTGTAAGTATTTATTCTTTAAAAGTGGATATTTTAAGTAGTTGTTCTTTAAAATGGGATGTTTTATTTAACTAGTTGTTCTTTAAAATGGGATGTTGTAAGTATTTATTCTTTAAAAGTGGATATTTTAAGTAGTTGTTCTTTAAAATGGGATGTTTTAAGTAGTTTTTCTTAAAAATGATACTTATTTAGAAGATTATAAAAGATGTTAGAAATTACATGATTTAGTTATTTTAATCAGAAAAGTTTCCAAAATGAATAAAACATGTGAAGAGATGAAGGTTTTAAATGCAGGAACAATAAGAAAATAAAGAAAACTTTCTTTTGATTAAATAAAATAGCATTTTGGAAGTGTGAAAATTAAATAAGTCATTGTTTGAATTTCCTTGTTCCATTTTGGTTGTAAGTCAATACCTCTCATGTTTTATAAGTTCTTTAAACACCAGCAGTTGATTGCAGTATATTATGTGGTTTATTTTTTTATACTTGCTAATAAAGACCATTTCACATGAATATTATCTGCCACAAATTTTGGTTGATCTTGACTAAGATTTTTTGCCTGAGGTTACCAGCTCACTTTACAATCATGTGTTCTCCACTAACTTGTATTTTTAATATTGTAATCTATATTAATTTTCAACTAATTAATTTATAATTAAAATCTTGATGCTATTGTTTTGTTTAGATATCCACTTTTATGCTAAGTGTGGAATAAATTGCTTTATTAAAAATGGACAAAACTGAGTCTTTGCCCCACAGACATTATGTCTTAAGAGAAAGCTGGAAGTTTAAAAAACAAAATTAATTCTCTAATTAACATTTAATTCAACTGATAGGCTTTAAATATATTTCATGTCAGACTATTTGAATACATTGCTGTTATTTTGCTTTGAGGGTAATTTTATATTGTATTAGTATTGTATATTTAGTTACCAAATGCCTACTTTCTTTGTTTGTTTATGTGTACAGTTTCAGCTTTAAGCTGAAGCCTGTAGATCTCAGGAACCTCTCCTTGCTGTCTGCCTTGTCTGCTGGGCTAGAGCGAGGCATGACCTTGACATCGCTCCCACCGTACACCGTCCCGTATGAGAAGATTGGCATCCATGTCTGCCACCATCACCTGACTGGTGATGCCATTTTGTCAGCTGTAGATGCCAGTGTTGTGGCGTTGTGTGTGACTGACCTGTCCCAGGTAATCTGATAGTATTAGTCAATGGCTAAACATTTGTTTTAAATTTTTTTTTTAAAAGCACTCTGCCATTAGGGTTACATATTCTTAAAGCTGTGTTAATGCCCCACCACATTAAATCAAACTGCCATTATGGCCATATGTTCTTAAAGCTGTGTTAATGCCCCTTCGGGGCAGAAGATTCTCAAAGTTGTGAAAGTTTAATGCCCCACCACAATAAATACAACTCAGTACTGGGCACCACCAGATGTTAATCTAACATGTTTCACTTCATGCAGTCAGATAATTAGATAGTATTATCAAGTGAAGATCACATAACATAAGATGAAGTAGAAGTTTTTTAGCGCAATTTCCATTCTGGAGAATTGCGTTTATTAACCCGTCATTTCTGGATGTATGAATGTGTGTCCGCAGCTTTAAGTCGTATCTCCTCCTCAACGAAGCAATATCGAGGACTAGTTCCAAAAGCAATTATGTTAAGCAAGTTACCAGGATGATAGTGGGCCAAAAAATTTCCGAGTTTTTTTCATGGATTTCCCGGAAAAGCCAAAAAACCTCGAAAAAATGCAGTTTTTGACCCATATCTCGGCAACCAGACCACTTAGCGACTTGAAACATTTACCAATCGATTCCTGCCATAATTTAGAACAATATTGCCGAAGAAAGTTTTCAAAAATATCCTTTCGTTCGGTCAAGAAAATTTTTTTGAATTAAAGTTTGGACCGAATTAGTAGGCATGTTTATCCAACCACACCACACGCGTCATCACGTTCAATAGCTGCGCCATCACGTTCAATGGCTGCGTCATCACGTTCAGTAGCTAGGCGCGCAATGGTTTTTAGTCATGTAACTCTATTGTAAATAAAACATGTATTTTAACCAATGGTTTTACTAACCCTGCTCTTGATTTACGCTACGACAGAGCTATTTTTAGATAACATAAGGAAATTGCGCTAAAATTGTCACTAGACTTTTTAATTACCTTGTTTTAAAATGACCCTGTAAATACGTATAGTAGTGAATTGCTAGCGTTTCTCATATTTTTAAAATCTCTCCAGTCGAGAAAGGAGAAAGAAGGTCTACCCAATACTTTTGATGACATGCCAGTTTGTACTTGTCTTGGATTTGGTATGTAATTTTTATACTTCAGTTGAGGTGTTCAATTACAATTGCCTATTTTTAAGAATTTTATGAATAAATAAAATAGACCTTGGTTTTAATATTAATTAGCTTCTATATTCATTATATAATTGTATTTTACATATATCATATATATATATATATATATATATATATATATATATATATATATATATAGGATAGCCAATATGTACTCATACAATTTTATTTTCCATTTGACTCGTTTAAAAATGAATTTTGCGTATAGGTATTGTCCGTGGTGTTGATCCAGTGAAGGGTCTGCTGTATATTGTTACCACCCTCCCAAAAGTTGTGTTTGGTCAGATGAACACTCTACTCAAAGGCTCACTATCCCTGCCTGATCAAATCATTTTAAAACAAGTAAGTGTTTATTTTGTCTGTTTAATGTTCACCAACTCACTAAGTTGAAAGCATGCCGTAAAAAGAAAGTCTATTAAAAAACATTAAAACTGCTTTGATTATTTCATTTTTTAATGTGATACTAAGATAAAATCTATTGTAATAAATATTTTCTGACAATACGATTTGTTGTTTTGTAATATAAAACTAATGTAGGACAATTGTAAGATCTAAATTACTTTTAATTTCCATTTATCAAATAAAAAATTAATAATTTGGCAGCATTGTTTGATGCAATGTATTATTTTAAAATTTTCTAGAAAAGCTCAGGGGCTGTTCCTTATGTTGATGCATTGGCACCAACTACAGCTGTCACTTCTGTGAGGCCTAGATCTCGAATGCCTAGAACAAGCCTGGGAAACCAGTAACAAAAGTGTGTGTAACATCCTTTAGGTGTTTGTATTTTGCAATATAGATGATATAACATGTATTTTGCAATATAGAATGATATAACAAGTCAATTTTTGAAAATAAAAACATTTTTCTTTATAGAACACAACTCCTTCAACTGTTTATGTCAACAAATATGAGTTTTATTTCCTTGTGTTTGTCTGCTTGGTGGAGATAAAAAAAATTGAAGGTTTAATGTTTACATGTTTTTTAAAATTAGTTCTTTAACCCTTAAAGCGCCCGCCATGTGGCCTTATATGCGCTATAAGTTATGTAACAGCAAAGCCACGACCGTGGCTTGGCGCGCTTTATGTGTTAATTTTTTTTCATATTGATGTTTTTTTGTATTGGTGCTATACCTTGTCTGCTATATTTTACTGGAAACAGATGTTGTACATCAAATATGTATATGTAGTTAGAACTTTATTAACCCTTTAAGTATTGTACATTTAAAAAAAAAAGTGTTCAATTATTTGTTTAGTTAGTCAGGAAGTGGAGTAACAAAAATATATTGAGCCTATGCTTTCTTTATAATGAAATTTTTAAAGCTGGTTGGCTGTTGTGTTGAGTAGTGTGTCAATCAGTCTGGATAATTACGTAGTTCATTTCTTCATGTTCAACTAAATATATTTCAAATGTACGTTATTTTAAATGAGAAATTTATTCTTTACTTTCACATCTTTATTGATAAAAAAAACATGGTATTACTTATATTTATATAGATCATGATCAGCAGAAGAGGGTGGGTATAATCTTTTATATTTAAAGTTAAGCTGAAGTGAAATCAATGTGACATGTTGATGACTTATGCCTTGCTCATATATAGGTTGTGATGAATCAAAATAGTTTTTTTTTTTACTTTATCTGTCAATGATCACAAAAGTTATCACAAGCTAACACAGCTTTTGGTTGTGTTTTTTTATTATTATTTTCCTTAGGTCTTAACAAGTAATATGGTTTTTACTTAATCATTCTTTAACATAAACACCTGAATTTTTCAGGTCAACTAGCATTTCTTCCTTCACAATTCTGTTGATTAACTTTCATGACAAAATCTGACCATTTATATTTTACAAGACATCTATGTCAAAACTTCAAGTCCTACAGCATATCAATACATGTATGGTGTACGCAGGTTTGTTATAATTGTTATAGGATTGTTAAATACTTGAAACTGGTACATCCCTTTCAACCATGATGGTGTAAGTCACCCTGATTGTAAATAATTGAATGTCTTGTTAAATTTCTTCATGTTAAGTCTAGTTAAACCTGATAAGTAGTGTATGTTGAAACCAAATTGTACTACATTTCAGAATGCATTTAAGGAAATAATGTATACACACTAAAGGCCATGTAACTTTAAAAAAAAATTTCAGTCAAACCTTAATAAATGTTTACTACCATAAACAAACGATCTTTTGGTTTGTTATATTATGATGGCTGTGTGAACTTGGGATGGTTGAGTAGAGTCTAGTACTGGGGAGTTGTATCAGTTTATTTTGATGGCTAGGTGAACTTGGAATGGTTGAATAGAGTCTTGTACTGGGGAGTTGTATCAGTTTATTTTGATGGCTGGGTGAACTTGGGATGGTTGAGTAGAGTCTAGTACTGGGGAGTTGTATCAGTTTATTTTGATGGTTGGGTGAACTTGGGATGGTTGAGTAGAGTCTAGTACTGGGGAGTTGTATCAATTTATTTTGATGGCTGGGTGAACTTGGGATGGTTGAGTAGAGTCTTGTACTGGGGAGTTGTATCAGTTTATTTTAATGGCTGGGTGAACTTGGAATGGTTGAGTAGAGTCTAGTACTGGGGAGTTGTATCAGTTTATTTTGATGGTTGGGTGAACTTGGGATGGTTGAGTAGGGTCTAGTACTGGGGAGTTGTATCAGTTTATTTTGATGGCTAGGTGAACTTGGAATGGTTGAGTAGGGTCTAGTACTGGGGAGTTATATCGGTGCCTGTTATCTGTTTGAAAAATAAAAATTAATGATAGGCAGACTGACCTCAAGTAGTAATTCAAATTGATTATTTGGAATTTTTTAATTTTTTTTTTTTTTGGCTTCTGATCTTTAACATTGTTTCTTCAAGGAAGAAAAGAAGTTTTTATTGTTACAAGTTATGTTTAAATGAAATAAGTAAATATTTCAGATATTGTTGTATATCTTAGATCTATTGGTTTCACGAAAATGTATGCACGGCTGTAAAAAAGTTTCTATTTGCTTCATAGTTTGCTTCAAAGATCGACCACCCGTGATATCAATAAATTATTCAATGCTCATTTTTACTGGTTTGTGGTGTTTTTTTCAGAACAAATTACTTCTATCGCTTACAGACCAAAACATTTTTATGCAATTTTAAAAACACTAAAGCACGGGGTTACGCTCCATTAAAAAAAAAGTTACATTGGCGATCAATAGAGTAGGTGAAGTAGAGTTCACCTGTTTCCGTGCGTGACCACAGCATAGGATGAAGACAAGAAGGGATCGTGTTGTCCGCTCGCTACCCAGCCGCCGTTCGATTTGCTTTCCCCCAAATGAGTCTGGGATCCGTCCTCGAGACTCACTGGTCAGCGGTCGTACTCTCTAACGTCCTGCCACGCCGACCCATGTCCCCAATTTTTCAATAAAAATACATGTTTACTAAGTGCGGGGGAGGGGGGGGGGGGTAGAATGCGTTTCTTCTGCCACTGATAAGAAACTAATTACTAATAGACCTTTTGAAAAACTTCCAAACTTTGGCTTAATTAGTAATAGCTTATAACAAAAATACAAATCACCCATTATTAATATATTTTCCCCGTCGGCTGTTCGCATTGCTTAAGATCCCTGATCAATAAGCCAATAATTCGCCGGATTAACATGCGACTACTGTTTAAACGAATATCTTTTTAATTAACTTGTCGAGTGCTGTTGCTACATGTTTTTGTGTATGTCTGGGATACGGCGGGTATTTAGCCTGGACGCCTAGACTAGACGATTTAAGGGAGGTCACCTTCAACTAGTGTTTCTTCCAGACTTTTTTCTCCGGGGAAGGGTGGTGGGGGCGGACACTGATAAAAGTATGTTTTCTATATAAATTCCATTTCATCGGGGGGGGGGGGGGCGGAAGACTTTCTCCGGATGAAAGTTTCTTTCATGAAACAACAAATCACAAAAAAATTTGCTCTTACTCATTCCGGGCGAGATATGATCAAATCGTGTTTAAAAAGCTGATACATCTCATTTATACCTTTTTGTTAAAAAATACTATTGTTTTCAAGTTCTCCTTTATACCCACCTAAAATTCTGAGAAACAAAAAATGTAATCTTGGTTTGGCCGGTCAAAAGTATCTAAACACGGAGGTTTGATGTGTGTTATTGTTTCCCGTGTTTGTTTTATTCTTTTGTTGCTCTGAACTTATATTAAAAAATTTGAACTCATTTCTATTATAGCTGCGTCATTCCGTTTTATATTTTGATTTAGAAATTGCTTTTTTAGATTACTTACTACAAAACTATTAAAATGAGCTGCGTGGGCACCCGATTAGATTATTTAAATAGGGGCGATAAGTCAAAGAGGAGGCTTGAAGGGTTTTCTATCTTAACTCTTCAGCTGATGTAGTTTTTTGTTTGTCTATGCTATAGCGTGTGACAGTTACTTTATAAGAGTCGATGCTGTAGTAGATCTTTTTTTAAAATGTCTTTTAGTCTATCAAGGTACACATTTTTTTTGTCTTTGGTTCGATTTTGGGCACCCTAAGCGCCATAGCCCCCCCCCCCCATCCCGGTTTTGCGGGGTCTGGCGGCATGGTAGTTCCGCCCCTGCTTTATAAAGAAAAGGGGAGCCATGAAAATTGATAGAATTGTTGGTGAGGATAATAAAATATAAGGGTCAACAAACATCAAGGAATCATTGAGTAATGCAAGACTCTGGAACCCCACACAAATTCAAGAAGAACAGCGGAATGATCCTAGTTTTGCAAAAATATTTAGGCTAGCTAGGAAAACTCTAGCACGTTCTTCAAACCCACAGAGCACGGGTTTACTGTTAAAGATAATACGCTAATCAGAATTTTTAGACACCATACCGAAGGATATATACAACTGGTGATACCACTACGATATAAGGATATCATACTCAGTCACGCTCATGATCTGTGTCTTGCTGGACATGCGCGTAGGAGAAAAACATTTGAAAAGATAGCAATAGAAATTCAACTCACGCTAAATATTGCTATTTAAGTAATTTTTTTTATTCCAACCGCATTGATTATTATGTCAAGACTCATAATTAAAATAGATTACGTTTAAGATTGTTTTTTTTTTCTTCTGATTAGTCGGTACAGAGTTTTATAGTTGTCGTTTTTTTAAATTTATATGATCTTATTATCACTAATTTTCTTTACGATGTTATTTAAAGGGATGGTTAAATTAGATGTAAGTGTATGATTAAAAGTAATGAACTTAAAAAAAAAATATTTATGTCTGCGTTTGTGTTAGCTTTTGCGTTTTTGTTTGTTTTTGCGTTTGTTTGCGTTTATGTTTGTTTGCGTTTGTTTAAAAAAGATTCACCGTAGCCAAGCACGGGTATGCAGCTAGTCCAGGGGTCGGCAACCTGCGGCTCGCGAGCCGCATGCGGCTCTTTTGATATCAAGATGCGGCTCTCCAGCTCCTTGAACAAATACTAATAATCTTAATAAAAAAATAAAATATTTGAAATAAAAAAATGTTAGTGGCTCTTTAAAACCAGGGAAATTTTGAAAATTGTAACTTTTGGCTCTTCCGCCTCAAAAGGTTGCCGACCCCTGACTGCTAGTCTATAATATAAGCGGGCTGGTAGTGTGTCAGTCAGTCACTCGGTATACCCACTTTGTCTTCGTTCCTAAAGTTGGGAGAGCGTGGTCCAGAGTGGGGACCATGGGCGCGGACGACGAGGGAAACGTGGTGTTCGGTTTTAATTACATCGGGGTTAAGGGGGGGGGGGGCAGTGTTCCCTCTAAGCTGCGCGGCTGCGCGGCCGCGCAGTACTTTCAAATGTGCCGCGCAGACATTTTCTGACCCCGCGCACAGATTATCAGAACGTCGGGCGAGCCTGATTCACAAGGAAAATTGTGGCCAGCGGTTTAAATTAAGCGACATTTTTAGTTCCTGTTTTGTTAAACGAACAGTCTTTGTGTTTTGGGGTATAAACAGAAACTACGGTTATCACTGACGGGGGGGAGGGGGTGACCTCGGTTGTCATAGCACAGGTCTAGTTTATGAGTTAACTCTCACCTGAGCGGGGCTGTGTGACACTCCCTTTGCTTGATTTAATGGTTTACCCGAAAACTGACCGGAGCTGACATCTAATACCTGCATTGTATTGTGAATTGAAGCTGACCCTGCAAGTTTTTTTAATCGTCGCTTGCCCCCCCCCCCCCTCCCCCTCATCTTGAAACTTTGACGATTAAGCCAAGTCAGATGCAAGTTTTACGTTACTTAAGGTGGATGTTTTTGCTGTGTTTGGTTTAAAGATTTATATATTATATATCCGATTCTTGGGATTATTACGTGCATGTGGATCGAAATGTTTTAGTATGCACACACTGCTTAGGTAAATCAGGAATAAATGTCCACTACTGTGTGCTATTTAAAAATGTTGAGGAAAAAATGTGTGTAACAAGCAGTACAACAATGTGGCACCAAAAAAAAAAGCGATAGATTCGTTTAAACTGGAATGGCTCAAAGTTAAAGTAACAACCGATACGCCAGATCAAAGAATGTTTCGGTTGAATCAGAAAGCATCCACGAATATTCAGATGAGATTGGACTGAAGTGTAAGTTCTGTGCTGCTACTACTTGTAACAAAACCAACAAGAGGAACGAATTGGTCACCACAGGAAAGCTCTGGGTATCATGGGCGCTTGACTACTGTAAACGTCATTTATTGTCTCGTGTTTACGTAGGAAATGTTGCGATTTCGTACAACCGCTCACATGGAACTGACCTTAAACGTCTGCTGGTTGAAACTTACACTGAGCGAGGAAAACTAATTGAGCAAAACGAGCGCCAGCGGTCAAACGAGGATCAAGTTCGAATCCTAACGGATAATGTTCTTCTTACCATAAGGATGAACGCCTCGATGCTGTCGGTACAACTGATTCATAAACACATGGGGAAGTATGTTTCTATACCAGACAGTTGGCGAAGTAAGAAATACGACTTTGAGTTTGTTCAAGTAATCAACGATGTTGTTGTAAAGAACATACTGACAGAACTTCGAGCAGCATCATTCCACACGCTTATAGTTGATGGCATAACAGTACATAAAATGCTAATCCTTTATTTTAAATTCCGTTCAGTCAATTCTGTATTCTACAAAACCGTTTTTAGTGGAATAACTAAGCCTACTGTAAGTGATGCCTTAGCTCTGGAGACA